TCAGCTTCTTTCATACCCTTGGCTCCTTTTTGTCTATCTTGCACTAACGGTTTAGTATGACTTTCTAGAAGAGTGATGCTGCTGCTCAAGCAACTTCTACTGGCTTCTTGTGTCCAGGCAAAAGCTGGAAGGATACCTTTAGTGCCTGAGAAGATCTTGACCCCTTCCTTACACTCAAGCCAAATTCTCCATATATATAAAATGCCTTCTCTACCTGCAGAGCCCTCTGTTTTGTCTTGTCTTCTGGCCCTGGCCCTTCTGTTCTTCAAGTCCTCATAGCTCTTGGATTAGCCCTGCTCCAGCCAGCTGCACCTGCACTGCTCAGATGCTGGGCATGGGGCACAGATGACGGAGCGCTTTCCTGCCCTCGAGGAGCTCACAGTCTAGTATGTCTCCTTCCTACTAGACTGAGGCTCCTTGAGGACAGGGATCGTCATACTCACCTCCCACCAGGAGCACAGTGCACACGTGCTTCTACTGTAGCCATGGCTATCTTGTACGCAGTGAGCACATCTGCAATAGAGTTGGACTTCACCTTTGGAACATTTGTACTATGACTAACATAAAACGTTTATAGTATGTACTTTATAATACAGTTTATTGCTTAGGTTTTTATGAGCAATGTGTCACAATAATTAAATGAGTTCTGCTGTTGAGGTTTGTTTCATTTTTATTACAAAGCTTTATTAAAGAAGCAGGTAGCCCATTACCACACTAAGTCAAATGCTTCCCAAATATAGCCCCTCAACTACTTTCAAGCAACTCTTTGAGCAGATTCATCAGTGAATTGTTCATAACTGACCTGTGCATTCCCTGTGACTGTGAGAGCTAAGAAGGGCACCTGCAGGTGCTTGTCAGCCAATGCTTAGCAAGGTTTCTGGGCCAGATTTTTTTGAACGGGTATCTGAGATCCAAGGAAGCTATTTTCTTTGAGTCATTTTCCATGATCATGGTGTGAACCCATGGGGATGCAGAATGAGATTAGCTGTTGGCATTTCTATAAGGTATGAACAGTTCCTCAATGGCAGTATTTTAACATGTTCAGTAAAATTTCTCATAAACCCCCAGCATTTTGTTGTTGTTGTTGTTGTGACTGGCAGATATAATATGCATTAAACATTTGTATTGGAAAATCTTTTTTTGTGCCAAGGAACCATAATAAATAGCTTTTGGAGCTTCTGCTCAAAATGAGCATTTTCTAGCAATGACATCTTGGAATGAAGTGTCTGTGCCACATAATAAAGAGCATCTGTGAGTGTGCTTGGCTCACAGTCAGTTCCTTGAGTCCTTTCTAGACAATGAGGGCAGTAGACAAGCAAAACTATCAGTCTAGCTTTGTACCATAGCTTCTATAAACACACCGCTCACATAAGGTTTAAGGTTTTTCACTTCAAGCTTAGCTGTGTGGTTATCTGTAGTATTCCATAATCCTGTCTCTTCACCCCATGCCATTGTCACTGATATATAGAGTCCTGTTTTTGAATGGTGAATGCACCATTTTTAATTTGACCATCTTGTTGATGGTGGAACTGGTGGGATAAAACAATCCCACACCAGTTCAGAAGAATGGATAATAAAAGGGTTATTTATTTAAGGGAAAACTTACAGATCACCATCCTAAACAACAATCCTCTGAGCCCAAACAGGAACAGAGCAAGAGAGCAAGTGCAGGTTTCTGCTGCTTTTTAAACTATAAGAGACCACGCCCGAGTGGGCTGGTATCTTAAAGGCTATTGGCTGAAGGAGTAGAATGTGCTTCCACAGCACTGGAAGTTGGGGTGCTTTTCAGTTTGGGGCTGAAAGACTAGTAACTCATGAATGCAGCAGTGTTTGAGCAGGAGGCTATGCTGTCAGCTGTGTATGCTCTCAAGCTTGGGGCTGTACATGTGCTCCATACAGGTTGACATTGACAGTTTTCAATGAACATGCCACCTGCACTGCTCCTAGCAGTGAGCAGAACTTGAGTTGTAGTGGCAGTAGTTCTTCTTTTAGGTTTTGTTCTGGTTTTTAACCTTTGGAAACTGTCACATATTTCTAAGCAATCCCTGTTCACACAAAGTAAGAAGAGTGGCATGTAGAACAATTTACCGGGAATTCTATGTTGTAAAGAGCAAGTACCCGCTAAGTAAGGAAGCGTGTATTCTGAGCTGCTGTCTGTCACTGAGAACTTCAAAAAGAGCATATGTATTGATATCAAGGGTTTGGCCTCTGCAATGAATTTCATAGTCACGTCAAAAAGTGATGGTTATTACCACTTTGTGTTAACCTTAACATTGTGCCATAAACCATTATTGCTGCCCTTGCTGAGGGAGTAAGCATTGTCCCAGATGGTTTGTAAACCAAAAGATTAAAACTGTAATTAGTTTGGACGGTGGTGGTGCACCACTTTAATCCCTGCACTCAGGAGGCAGAGGCAGGCTGATCTCTGAGTTCGAGGCCAGCCTGGTCTACAGAGTGAGTTCCAGGACTGTGCCAGGGACTGTACAAGAGAAACCCTGTCTCAACTCCTTTTCCCCTCCAAAAAATAAACAAACAAAATACTTCAGTTAGGCACTTGACCTGAGCATAGGCTACAACTAGGAGGCCATCAGAGGCCATTGGTGTAAGCTATTCTACTACCTTGATATCACGTGGTTAGCAGATGCTTAAAGTACTGTCTTTTCAGACCAGGAAGCAGGAAGAACAGGAGTTCAAGGCTACCCTATGCTGTTGGAGCCTGGTTCTGGTGGCTCACACCTTTGATTCCAGCACTTGGGAAGCTTATACCTTTAATCTCAACACTAGGGAGGTAGAGACAGTAATATAAGGCGGGTAGAGACGTGATCTTAGCCCCCTCCTCCCCATTCGGTCTGAGAATTTGTAGAGGTAAGAAGTGACTGTAGCTGCTGCTTTCCTTTTCTAATCTTTCAGCTTTTACACTTGATATCTGACTCCAGGTGTTTATTGATAAGACTAATTAAGGCCAGGTGGTGGTGGCACATGCCTTTAATCCCAGCAGTTAGGATCCTGCCTCAGAATTCTTTAGAGTCTACTTCCTTCAGTTTTTTGAAGGTTTTTATTTGGTTCTCCAGGGTCACAGGGATGGAGAGATGGTACTTGCGATGTGAGTGCCAGAGTTTAGAGCCCCAGACACAATCAAATAAGTATTGGTGGGTTCAGTAGCCTACTTGTTCTCCCAGTATACAAGAGGGAGACAAGACTCCCCAGAACAAATAAGATGACTAGCTGAATCAACAAGAGACTGCCAGGGGGCTGAAGAGATGGCTCAGAGGTTAAGAGCATTGCCTGCTCTTCCAAAGGTCCTGAGTTCAATTCCCAGCAACCACATGGTGGCTCACAACCATCTGTAATGGGGTCTGGTGCCCTCTTCTGGCCTGCAGGCATACACACAGAATATTATATGCATACATAATAAATAAATAAATAAATAAATGTTTAAAAAAAAAGAGAGACTCTGCCATACTATAGAGTAGGGAGTCACTGAGGAAGATGCTCACTATCAGTCTCTGGCTTTTGCATGTTTTTGAGTACACACATATACTACATATCCACATATGTGCCCAAAAGGGGTGTGTGTGTGTGTGTGTGTGTGTGTGTGACATTTTCATGTTTATTCTAGATTAATTACATCCTGGACATTATGACTAACAGGCTGTGGAAATTCTAGATTCATTTACATTCCTCTTATGAATATTTAGAATGTGTTAGAAAGTATTACCATGGCTGATCTCACATTACCAACTCTCTCTGTGAATGAGAGTATCACAGGTCAGTTTTCTTGCTCTTTCAGCCCCTCCTGGGCTGCTTGGAGTTCCTGTGTTTATGGCTAGCTCTAGGCTCTGTCAGAGATATTGCCAAAATGTCTACTCAGCAACCGAGCATGACTTTCCAACTTCCTTCTTTCTGAGATTCCTCCTTCATTTTCAATCAGCTGTTTGTTCCAGATTCAGCACTCTGGTTCTTCAAGCCCAGAGGGCGCAGATCCACCTTTTAGCTGTCTGCCTTGAAAAACTGGATCTACCTAGCTACTAAGGTCAGCCTCTTGCCACTGCTGGCTGTTCTGAGCCACCACACAGTTGTTTCTTCTATTCAGAGTTCCAGTGTAATAATCTGGGTCCAAGAAAAACTTTCAGACACACTTGAAACCAGAAAGATACTGTGCCATATAAGATGTTATTAGAAGAGCTTTTTAAAATAATAATAGTGCTATAGAGAGATAGCTCAGCAGCTGAGAACACTGTCTGCTCTTTAAGAAGACCCATGTTCAATTCTCAGCATCCACACAACCATCTGTAACTCCAATTCCAATTAACCTGACATCCCCTTCTAGCCTCCACAAGCATACACATGGTAAACAGGCATACATGCAGACAACATGCCCATGCACAAAAAAATAATAAAATAAAAGAATTTTAATTAGAAAAAAATTGAGGTGGTTAATACAGCAAGCAAACAGCAGACCCTGTTTCTCATTGTTTAAGTTACGTCATCTGAGAAGAGTTAGTTACCAGGTGCCAGCACTGCTGGAGCAGTGTGTCTGCTCACATAAGCCCAGCTCAAGCTGTAGACTTGTTTCCTGCAAGCACACCCCCGGTTTGTGGAAAGGTCAACTCCATTCCTTTGTGGTGAGGCAGTGTTTAGTAACTGTACGAGATTATGTTTCAGAACTGCTGTTCCTGTGAACTTGCCAGAGCAAGCCCTTCTCTCTAACCTTCCCCAATGGATTTACTGCTGCTCTTTCTCTGGGTATTTTCAGACCCACTTAAATAACTACAGACCCAGACTGAGTTTGTATCCAAAGCAAATGTTGTGATCCCAACCCTTTGTTTTGGTGATTAGAGTTCAATCCTTTTTTTAAAAAAAAATAAAAATAAAAAACTTTTTCCCCATATTAAATAAAGCAAAGTGTTTCCTAACTTTAAAAATAAATGTTTTATAATTTCAAAGAGAAGAGTTTGTACCACAGTAATCCATAGCAACCCATCGGATAGATACTACAGAGATGAAGTGGGGCCAAGGATGGCACATGCAAGGCCTCGGGTTCTATCTCCAGCATCACAAAAGAGTGAACAGGAGGTATAAAAGTTCCTTATTTTCTAGTGGCTTTAAGGCAGGAGGAGAATAGAAACGATTTGGATTTATTTGTATGTTTTTGTCTTTCAGTCTTGTGTTTCCCCATCATGATGCTCTTGATTGTGCATGATGGAACAGCTTGCTAGGGAGAATAGCTCCCCACTGTTGCCTTTTTTCTTTGAGACAACCAAGGAATTTGTACCCCAGCTACCAATACTGAGTGGCCTTCACCATTTGTGCAACATCTTTGGCTAGAGACTTGGCTTTTTGTCCTGGAAACAAGGGCCTAGCAGACCACTTCATTGTTCTCCGTCCATTTGATTGCTCCAGAAGGTGAAAATAAGATTGCTGTGCTTGCCTGCCAGTGGGGTTGTGAAGCCAAAGAAAGAACAATTCTTATAGTCTCTGTGGCCTTGACAGGGAGTTGGCTGCTTTGGACTTTTCTCAAGTGAGGAAAACAAGAATTAAATTTAATATTAAATAAAATTCTCCTTTCCCCCTTCCTCTTTTCCTATCTGTGGCCCACAAATAAATAGGCATAATCATCAGCTTTTTTAAGTGACAAGTCTCAGCTTTCTTGTTTCATTCATTTGCAAATTAACAACTTGTAAACCTCTATCCAGGAGAGTCATGGCTCATTGCCCATGTACATTAGGCAGCTAAAAGCCTCTCAGTGGAATGTATTACTATTCAAAATATTGTGAGTTTGGGAAAATATGCTGCAGTTTGACCTCCATGACCTTACACGTCCTCCTTTGCTGTCTTGACTCTTAGCAGCTGCAGAGAGTAACTCTGTAGGGGCCCCATCTGTGGGCTAGCCACCCAACGTCAAACAGTTCTTTAGCGTTTATTTATATTCCTGACTTCTCTGAACAACAAGTTATGGATTCTCAGGAGCATTTGAAATGCTATTTCTGGTATGAGAGTGAATGTTAAGATGGAATAAATAGCTTCTCAGCTATCTTTGCACTCTTGGAGACAAAAGTCTGACGTGGTTGATCACACTTTGGAGCCTCCACTAGTGTGCAGATACTCTTTAGTTGCCCAGAAGGGTTTAACCCATGATGGATTAACACAGAAATCTTACACTGAAAGGAAGATTTAGGCAGTACATTCAAGGTGTTCAGAGAAAGGGGCAGTAACCATAAACTGAAGAGCTGGCCTGGTGGGATTTGAGGTCTCAGCAGGTAGGTAGACAGTAGACCAGGTAACCTATTTCATAAAGCATGTAAAATAGAAGGCCATGGGAACTTTCCATTGCTTGGAAGAAAGGTCCCACTTAGTCTTCTTGTTGTCTGCCTATATTTTAGTTTGGTTCAAGAAGTAGAAGAGCTGGACAGTGGTAGTATACACCTTTAATTCCAGCACTCAGGAGGCAAAGGCCGGCAGATCTCTGTGAGTTCAAGGCCTGCCTGGTTTACAAGAGCTAGTTCCAGAGCTAGCTCCAAAGCAACACAGAGAAACCCTGACTTAGGGAAAAAAAAAAAAAAGTAGAAGAAAGGACTTTAAAGTTTTTTTGTTAAATTTTTTATCTTGATTTTGTTGGGCTTTTTGGTGTTTTAAGCTATAACGTATCAGGATCTGTTATCTGGTGTTGGTGAAAGAGAGCAAGACTGGAGATCTTACCAGAATGTGCTCCTCTCTGGTTTCAAACTGGGCCTCCATCCCGTTGACCACCTCCAAGAAAATGGTCTCTAATCGGCTATGAGCCCAGGTTAGGGCTCCATTTCCCAGACAAGGACCTACTCTACAGAGGTCCACAGGTCTCCACTCATCCCTACACACACCCTCCCTTAGCCTTGCATAGGCTGTGATCTGGGAAACTAAGTTGAGCTGCCTATATTCCCACTAGGGAGCTCATGAAGCCCAGCGAAGCCATACTAGCTCTTGCTGAGGTCACACATGTTCTGCGTGTGGCAATGCACTTAAAGGAACATGTCAAAGGCTATGTAGCAGGCCTGAGAAAGTTAACTGCAGACTTAGAGATAGGAATGTGGATGAATTTGCCAAGACATGATTGCCCTTTTATACTTCAAACATTAACTGTATTTTGATCCTTGTGGACAAGGTAGCCATTGACTGCTGGGGAAATTACTTGATGAGCAATTGTCATAGTTTTATCTGCTTTAAAAAAAAAAAGTTTCTCAGGTTTCAGAGCTCTCTAGGATAGCCTGTAAAGAGAAGGGAGTACTTAAGATTGAACCCAGGGCATGTAAAGAGAAGGGAGTACTTAAGATTGAACCCAGGGCCTTGTACATTTGTAGGCAAGTGCTCTTCCACTAAGGTGCATCCTGTGCTACTGAGAACTTTTTAAATTTAAAGGTAACTTGGTGTGTATGTGTCTGTTTCACTGTTCCTCCTAATTGATGCAAAAGGAAATCAGAGTCTTCTTGGAGGAAGGATGGGCCTCATGACTGAAACTTTTTTAAAGAGGCAGTGGATCTTTTCTTTGAGAGCAGTCCCATTTCCTTTGAGGAGAAAACCTTTAGCATGCAGTGATGGCTTGCTGACTCAAGGCCAGCTATGGAATGATTTTGTCTGTCTGTTCCTGATTTGGGAGGTGACTGAGAAGAGCAGGCTCCAGCCTCTAGCCGGCAGGAATGTCTTTTTAAACAGTCAGGCAGATTCCCAGATTAGAAGGAGTCTGTGCAGCTGATGTCACTATTTCCTGAGTAATTCTGGGTGGTTATTCACTGTATCTGGCTGCCAAGGGCCAGAATCTGTGAATGAGCCTCATTATTAGGACTCCAGGTTGCAGGCATGGAGGGAAGAACTGATTGTTGCCACAGTTAAGACGAAGATTTAAAGACTTGCCACCTACCGAGTCCCAAGGAGGCGGTGGGGAGTTAGGGGGGCTGGCCACGCTCCCTGGGCTGCATTCTGAGGCCTTTACAGGATGGCACACAGCCAGGACTGAGACACCGCCCGCATTGCCAGGGAGGCCGCAGTGCAGTCTGGTGGTGGTAAGTGGGGGTTTTTCCAGCTTAGAACAGGCAGTGCTTTAGAAGCACCTGTAAGTACTGTTGCAGTTTTCCTTGTTTTCTTGATATAAAAGTTAGTATACTATTATACTGAGCTAGTCGGGAGATCTTGGCCCCTTGCAAAGTTGATCTCCATGTGCTGGTGAGTCGGAGCTATGTGGGAGTCTGCTTTCACGCAGTCTGCCAGAGACATGTAGCTACTTGATACAGAGGTGCTTGGACTCTCGGGGTCCTGTTCTGCACAGAATAAATCCCAGTGTGCATTCAGTTCATCTTGCTCAGCCTTTGTCTCACCAGGGTCTTTTTCTTACCAGTTCTCTTTCTTAATTTTGGCTGTTATTTAAGTGCTCTTGCCAGTTTATACCATGACTGTTCTAGAATCCTTTTGTGTAGGGTTAGAAACCTGATTCCCTTGTGTATATAGGCTCTTTTCTCTGTGACTATCTTTTACTGAGATTAACTGGTATCCCATAGATGAGTGGGGTGGGTGATTGGCTGTCTGCTCCCCTTAACACAGTGTGTTGTTTCTCCAGCACAATCCTAGAGGAAGAGAAGGTGCAGCAAGAAGAACGAATGAGGATGGAGTCCAGAAGACAGGCGACTGTATCCTGGGATTCTGGAGGGTCTGACGAAGCACCACCCAAGGTAGCTGGCACCCCTGCCCCAGCTTTGAGAGTTCTCTTGAACTAAGTCTTCTTGTACTGCAGTCTGTGGGAGTAGACACTGCTGTCTGTGCGACCAGCCGCTAAGTCATGGAAGGAGTAGGCACTGTAATGTTACGCATCCTCCTCTCTGTAGACTGCTCGATGTGCAGCTCACCCTGTAGAAGCTGGGGAAGGCAGAGACTATGAGAGACTTGATGTGAAACTGCCTTTCCCTCTTCTTGGTGCTTCTTGGTGCTGCTAAACTTCTTGGAAGCTTAGGTGGGACTTACCTCTCGTTGGCAAGAGAAGTACAGACCTCACAGATAGTCAGGGTTCAAACACAAGACTAGGGGCTGGTAGTGGTTCACACCTTTAACCCCAGCACTCTGGAGGCAGAGGCCGGCAGATCTCTGTGAGTTCGAGGCCTGCCTGGTGTACAGAACTAGTTCCAGGACAGGTTCCAAAACTACAAGAAACCCTGTCTTAGGGGGAAAAGAACCAGACTAGGCCATGGCACTAAGGGTTTGCTTTATTTCAATGAAGCACACTTCCACCCACCTGTACCGCTTTTGCTTTGGTTTTGCTCGAGCTTTATGTGCTGCTTCTGGGTTGTGGCTGCTGGCTAGGTGTTGGAGGGTGTGCTGGGTTTGCTCTCAAGCCTGTGCCGTGCTTGGCATGACATGGAACCTGACCTTCTCTTATCATCTCTAGGTTTTCTCTTTCCTTTAATCTGGGGGAGGAAAGCCACTGCCATTTTACAATGGCTGGGTAGCAGTTGAGGTTTGGGACCGAGATGGCCTTTATCACTTTGCACACAGGAAAAAGTTCTCGCTTCCCTTTGATTTTGTATGGGGTAGACTCTTCATACACCTACTTGAATAAATAATCCAATTCAGACCTGTTTCCTGCATATGATACACTTGATTAGCTAAAAATATAGTTTGACCACTTCATTTCTTTTGAAAAGTGGGGATCTGGTTACAGAGGAACTGTGTGAGTATTGCACCAGGTGTTTTATAATGGTTTCTGAAATCATGGTAATCCCATGTTGAGCTGTGAAGTAGTGAACCCGGAAGTGAGCATAGATGAAGTGTGAGTATAGGTGATGAACTCAGCTCAGTCCACAAGGAGCTTTATGGACCCAGTTCTTCACAGAGGGCAAAACCTACCACCTGAGGGGATAGTACTTTGAAACAGGCATTGAAGAACCAGATACTGTTTCCAATTTAAGAACAAAGCTTTTTTCCTTACAGAAAGACACCAACACTTCATCTTAGAACTTATGGCCCTTCCTGGGCTGTTTACCATTTGTGAGTTTTTCTTTTCTTTTGTCTTAATTTGATTTGGGGATTTTTGGTTTTTGCCTCTTGCCTTAGCCTCCCAATTTCCTGCTTTAATTCTGTGTCAGCTGCAGCATAGTCCCATATTGGGAAGCAAGAGAAATCTCTTCACTTAGTTCTCAGGCCTGGGGTCAAGCAAGTCTCTTCATCTGAGGCTTGACTAGTAACACTCTGTTGCCAGGGTGCATTATTCTAAACCTCATTCTCTTAGTTTATAGGACGGAGGTGTTAGTACTCTCGCCTCTTGGAGACGCTGGAAATGCACCAGGTGGCACTTCTCTAAGAGTAGCTCTGCCACAGAGTCCAGACTGCCGGTGCCTAGGTATCTTTAACTTTTCCTAATAATCTGCTTGGTTTTGGTTTTCTTGGTTTGTTTGGTTTGGGTTTTTTTGTTTTGTTTTGTTTTTGTTTCCTTTTTGTTTGTTTGTTTTCAAGACAGAGTTTCTCTGTGTAATAGCCCTAACTGCCCTGGAAATCACTCTGTAGACCAGGCTGGCCTCGAACTCAGAGATCTGCCTACCTCTGTCTCCCGAGCACCACCACTGCTCGGCTGTGTTGGTTTTTATTTTTTTTGTGTTGGTTTTTAATAGTTTCATTTTGGCAGATTTATTTTAAATTAGGCTCATGTGGTAGAGATAGTTTGACTTCTTTTAGATCTTAAGTAAAAAGACTAGCTCATAAATTTTTAAGTATCCATCTTGTGTGTACTCAATTCTCTCACTGGTGGTGTTTCCAAATTCACATTCTGAGGCATTCTTCATGATTCTCTTTCCCCCTATCCCTATTTATTTGTTTAAAACAGAGGTCAGTAAATGCTCCCTAATCCACTTCATTGCACTTTTATTGGAATACAGCTTCATGCACTCGTGGAACTATTTCATAGGCCTTTGAGATCAAAGCTGGGATCTTAGTCACACCAGGAATTATTTCCTGTTTTACTGCTTTGACAGCTGCATGAGTGCGGCTATCAGTCATTGTCACCAAACTTCATCAGTGTATACCATATCCCACCACCACCATGCTCCAACACTAAGAAAAGCTTAGAGTTTATGGAAGAATGGCTCTGATGAAGTGGTGCAGTGTTGAGTGAAGCCTGTCTAGCATGCAGAAGAAGAACATGTTCAGATTGGTGGATTTGGTAGACATTTTCTCAAAAAGCAAAGGGGTAAAACCCTCAGTTCAGTGAAAATCATTCCTAAAACTTTAATTTTCAATCAAAAATTCTAATTTGAGTGACTTAGCACCTTGACCATGATATTTCCAGGTTGATAGGCTGTTTTGAAGGTATCACAGCAACATTAATATGCGATTATTAAAAGTTATTGTGTTAGCCTGGCAGTGGTGGCGCACGCCTTTAATCCCAGCACTTGGGAGGCAGAGTGAGTTTGAGGCCAGCCTGGTCTACAAGAGCTAGTTTTAGGACAAGCTCCAAAGCTACAGAGAAACCCTGTCTCGAAACACCAAAAAAAAAAAAAAAAGTTATTGTGTTAACTTCCTGGGAGATACAGCCAGACTTCTGTTCAGTTCAGAGAGGGCTTCAGTGTTCAAGTTCAGCTTGCTAGACCAGGTGATCTATTGATCTTGCAGAGCATGGGGAGGGGCTGCTTATAGAAGCATGGATCACCGCAGAACAGCCGTGTGCCAAGTCTCTCACCATCATGGAAGCTGCAGCTTGGAGTTCCCCTGCTTCAGTTAATCTTCCATGCTATATTCTCTAAGGCCATGTGCAGCTAGAGCTGAATTATATATACCTGGCAGGAAGGTGCAGAGGGAGTGGCTGGTTTCTCAGGTAAGAGTCTATGACTCTTGTCAACCCATTGTTTGAAGGTATGTCAACAAGTCAGATATTAAAGAGCTTATACAAGTAGTCACAGCTACCCCGATAAAGGTGACTGTTTGCTTAAAGGGCAGTGTTTCACAACAGAAACATGTATGTCCTGCCTTCTATAATGTATCACACTGAGATGATCTGTATAGCTTAGTGAACCAGTGCTTTCTGGATGGCTTGGGAAATATGACTGAATCACACATGATGACTAGACCATCTAAGATAGAAACAAGGTGAGGTCATGTCTGTCATTCCACATCCTAGGGCTAATGTAGAAGAAGATAATCATATTTGAGGACAGTTTGGACTATGTATCAAGACCCTATCTCAAAAAACACAGGCCAGAGTTACAGATTTTAATGTAGCAGATTACTGATGAGATTTCACGCTGGCCCTTAGTTTTAAGAAACATTTGGTTAGTGATTTGAGGTGTGGTATTAGGAAAGAATATTCACAATTGTGCTGAAAATTGGGGGGAGGAAGGCTTTCCTACCTGGGGATGTGTTTCTCAGTGGTAAAGCACATTCCTGACATGTGGACCAGGTTCCATCTCCAGCACACAAAGAACCATTTCTAGTTGCTGTGTAAAGTTTGGTTTTCTTTATAACCACCAGTAATCTAGAAAGGTAATTAATGAACTGTGCAAAGTGGCAATTGTGTTAATATGCACAATAGAGTTGGTTCTGTCTCACTGCCTAGAATCACCCCTTAGGCTTTCATTTCTGTGACAGCAATTGTGGCCAACAGAACTCTTCACAGAGTCCTGCATACCCCTGAGGGAAAATACCAGCCAGTTCCAGCTTTGATCATCACCTTTTTGTCCCTTTCCTTCCTTTACAAGATAGAATTAATCAAAAATCCCCTCACTTCTGTGCTTTTCTGTATGATAACCCAGGTTTACCTTGAAAGCGGTAGTAAAGAGAGCTTGCTCATCCACAGTGCTTAGCGAGTGACACAGCTTGAGAAAATGGCTCTGTCCTGTCTCACCTACCTGTCAGGAGCACAAGGCCGAAGAAGGAAACTGGTACATTTAGAGGCCTGAGGCAGATGTGCCCTAGCATCTTACTTGCTTTAAGAATGTGACTCATGCTGGAAAGATGGCTCAGGAATTAAGAGCAATTACTACTTTTGGAAAGGACCTGAGTTTGATTCTCAGCACCCACATGGCAGCTCACATTCATAGATAACTCCAGCCCCAGGGGAGCTGATGCCCCCTTCTTACCCACAGAGATACCAGACACGCACATGGTGCACATGCATATACGCAGGTGAAACAGTCATATACATAAAAAAAGTCCAAAAATATTTTAAAAGAATGACTGACTTTTATGATGTTTAGTAGAGGTTTTGCCTTGTTCAGGATGATTCTTTCATGTTAGTTTTTATTTGGTGAGGTATAAATGTATTTGTTACAGAGTAGAATTATACCACAGAAGATGTGGGGTTACTACTTTTGTTGACTGTGTGAGCCTTTTTGCAGCACCTGACTATTCTGAGCCTATCAAGAGGGTAAGGATGGTGCTATAGCTTTACAGTATTGTTGTTGGCCGAATGATCCATTCGGTGTATGCAGGATACACTGCATAAGCCACAAGTGTGTGGTTTTCATGTGTTTTACATGCTACTTTCTACATTTAAGTGGATACTATCATACTACTGTTGCCTCATCTTGGCTTCAGGAGCCTGTTCCACACAGTTAATACATCAATCTTTTAATTACTATCTTCCTGGTTTTGATTTTGTTTATCCGCTCATCAGTTGGCAAATATTGCTTCCCTTTTCTAGCTGTTACGAGCAGCGTTCTAAGAACACATGTGTGCTGTTATGTGTGCTTAATTTTTCATTTCTCTGGTGGGTTTGCTGAATCTTATGGTAATTCTATGTTTTGTTTTCTCAGGGATCAGCCTAGTGCTCTATTTATCAGCTGCTCCATTTTATGTTTCTAGCGTCAGTGCGCTACGCTAATTCCTCTGCTGTTCTTGCTTTTATTTGTGTCTTCTTTATTACTATCCTGGAAGTCATAATACAGTCACTCATTGTGGCTTGAAATTGCCCAAAGGTGCTGGGCATCTGTTTTGGGGTCAGTCTGTAGTCTTTTTGGGTCTGTTCTGTGTTGCCAGCTTTGTCCACTTAAATTAGATGGCTTGTTATTTTAATATTCACCTGTGGAAACTCTGTTGCTCTGAGTTCCTGAGTCTTCAGCTTGGCTTTTCTCCTATGTGGCTACACGTAACACAAGTTTTATTTTGATTATATAAATTTTATATTTGATTTCCCTTTTATCCATTGAGATTTTAGTGTCATAACTAAGACACCTTTCCTCCTCCCCATTGAAAAAATTTATTCCTGCTGGGCAGTGGTGGTGCATGCCTTTAGTCCCAGCATCAGGAGGCAGAGACAGGTAGATCTCTATGAGTTCAAGGCCAGCCTGGTCTACAGAGCAAGCTCCAGGACTAGCTCTATAGTTACTGAGAAACCCTGTCTCGAAAAAGAAAGAAAAAAAAGATTCCTGTTCCCTTTTAATGCTGTTACAGTTTGACCTCTTAAATTTAGACTGTGAATCATTTTAAGTTAACTGTCAGGTAAGTTGTGGGAAGAATCAGTTGTTGAAGACTCTTCCCTTGCTGAAGTCTATTGGGTTCCTTTGATTATTCTTTTCAACCGAGTTGTATTAGCAATATCTTTACTGTGAGACATTGTTTTTTCAGAATCAGGAGACTCATCATTACGATGCTTTGTTCATTTGTTCACAGCCCAGCAGACCTGGTTATCCTAGCCCAAGGTCCAGTGAAGGATTTTATCCCAGTCCACAGCACATGGTCCAGACCAATCACTACCAGGTATATGAGTTGTCACAGATATATAACATGTTACTTGGCTCATCAGCACTTATGTGGTGGGAAGAAGCTTGAATTCATTTCTGTTTTTTGGTTTGTCTTCTTATTTTCATGAATGGAGGCTAAGAAACTAGTCATCTTGGTCTTTGCCTTGACTTTCATGCCTTCCCAATCTCCCACAGGCCCACAACATTCATCAGTCACATCTTAAAGCAGGCAGACCAGCACCTGTGGTTGTACTTAGATCCATTGTCTTCAACCTGCCTCTAAGGGACAAGGCAGAGCTAATAGTGAACTGTAGTTTTTCCAGAAGACAAAAGTAAAGCACAAAAATAAAGTGAAGGCAGATGAGATAGACAGCCTGCTGATGAGTGTGTGGAGGAGTGCTGGGTTTGGAACAGCCACCCAGGAGCAGAAGGACACTCAGTGACATTGAACCCCTGGATAGGCCCCATTGCTGACGAATGCCAACACCAGTGTCTATATACATACCATGGCCCCATTCTTTAGAGGGCATCTTTGTGCCCTTCCCAGCCAGTCAGCCTAGCCCTTCTGGTCTCTGTTACCTGGCTAGCAGAGGTGTGTTTTGCGTGTTATAAAATCTAATGTAAGTAAAGTGGAGTGTGTGTTTGAGAGGTCAGTTTTTTGTCTGTTACAAGGTTTACCAAGAATATTTCAAGGGTTCCAGAGAACAGGTTTACATAAAGGACTCTCAGGCCAATATGGACAAAAAAAAAAAAATGCTTAGCTGGCACTAGGGGAGAAGGTAGGCACTGCTTCTTACTAGAAAGCAAAAGGCTGTAAGTCTGTGGTAGTCTAGGACAATGGGTACTGGGTAAGTTTCAGGCTCTGTGTACAGCTCTATACACTGATTCTCATGTAGAGCCAAAGAAGATTCCCATCACTAGGAACCAGTTGAGGGATGATCAATCAGGTCTGGGTATTGGGAGACACTGCTGTATGAAAGCCAGGAGCAAGGAGAATAGGTACCCAAGTTCATTCATCTATTATCTAGGTACTTAGAACATGAAAAGGAAGTCTTCTACTCCCGAAAGGATGCATAGTGGGGTATGTTCCAGCTCAGCAAAAAAGCTTAATCTGACCAGGACAAGGATCAGAGATCAGTGGGAAGTGTGTGGATAGGCTAAAGAAGGCAAACACACTTCTGACTGATGAGAGACCCTAGCTGCTGGCATACAGCATAGCTACCCTGGAGAAGAGCAGGGCCTGCCTACCTGACCCTTCTGGACGTCAGTGCTCAGCTGACCCTGAAGGGGAAATAGACAGCATCAGCACCTGCTTTCGCGGTAGCTATCAGTTCTATGTGTCCTCGCAGGCATGCAGGAAACTGGACAGGCTTGAGGACATGTTTGTAAGTGTTTGATCCTGCTACTTTGAAAGCCCCTGAGGATTATTTAGAAACTGCAATAAGTTACACAGAACCTCTTCTTCGTAAAGAAATTTCTGAAAGTTCTTTTAATAATATAGTACTTTTTAATCAAAAAAAAAAATGCTGCTATAGGTCCTGAAGAGCTAGATCAGCAATTAAAAGCACTTAACTGCTCTTGCGGTGGACCCAGGTTTGGTTCCCAGTACCCACATCAGGTGCTCACAACTGTAATTTCAGGGAATCTAACCCCCTCTTCTGGCCTCTAATACCTGCACGCAAGTGATGAATATACAGACAAGTAGGCACATACATATACATTTATATATATGTATATATATATATATATATAAACAGTGGCATAGCACTTGTATCCGATAGGAATTTTTTTTATTATTGTTATTACTTAGATGCTATTTCTGGGGAGTTTGAGCATTTGCCATAGCCCGGATACCTAAATGTAGACAATCCTTTGCTGAAGGACATGTTGATGTTTGGGAATGTGAATTTCATCGTGCGTTTATCTCATTTCACCAAGTAACTGGCAACTCTGGCCATATGATGGCATCCTGAGTCTGCTCCCTGTTCTCTCAGTTGAAGAGAAACCATTTCAGGAAGCCTGCTTTCCTTCTCTGGGTTTTGTCACCGAGTCCCTCTCCTATAATCCTCACTCTCTGAAATAGAAGACATGGCCTCTCTCACCACAATCAGCCCCTTGTTCACTGAGAAAAGCATTTTGGAATTTTGTTGTAGTTTTGTTTGTTTTTTGAGACAGGGTTTCTCTGTAGCTTTGGAAACTGTCCTGGAACTAGCTCTTGTAGACCAGGCTGGCCTCGAACTCACAGAGATCCGCCTGCCTCTGCCTCTCGAGTGCTGGAATTAAAGGCGTGTGCCACCACTGCCCAGCTTTTGTTGTTGTTTTTTCACTTTGGGAGTGAGTTTGGAATTTTGCAGGGTTTGAGATGGTCTCACTATGTAGCCGTGGCTGACCTGGCACTCATAGTGTCCATTCCTAGAGATTTCCTGCCTGCTTCTCTCAAGTGCTAGGATCAAAGACATGCATCACCACTCCTGGCATGTTTGGGATTTTTGAGACAGGATCTCAGTATGTAACTGTAAGCTATCCTGGGCCTCATTTTGTAATTGAAGCTGGCCTCAAACTTTTGATCTCCTGCCTCTGGCTTGTAAGTGCCAGGATTATAGGCCATGTGCCACCATATCCGGTGGGGTTTTGTTTTGTTTGTTTGTTTGAGACAGGCCCTCGCCCTAAAGCCCAGGCTGTCCTCAAAATCTTGGCCTCTTGTCTTAGCTTCCAAGTGCTAGAATTACATGCTTTCACCATGATGCCCAGTAGGTATTTCATGGTTGCTATAGCTCTTGCTGGGGCATGGTTTTGAGTTGGATAGAAAAGGAAAATTCTTAAGCTGAACATGAAACAACTATATTCTGGAGCTCCTATTACCCTCATATCCAATTTCCATGATGTACAAATTACAAAATAAAATAATTTCTTCTTTTAAGAGTGTATAATGTGAAACTGGGTGGTGGTGGCACATGCCTTTAGTCCTAGTACTTGGGAGGCAGAGATAGATAGGTGGACCTGGAGTTTAAGGGCAATGTGGTCTGCAGAATGAGTTCCAGGACCGCCAGAGCTACACAGAGAAATCCTGTCTTTATTTAAAAAAAAAAAAAAAGAATGTGGGAGATGTATTGGGCTGGAGGGTTCCATGCACACTTGCTATATGTATGCAAGTTTATATAGAGGTCAGAGGACATCTTTGAGTATCACCTTCAGAAATGCCATCTGCCTCCTCCTTTCATTGGCCCTGAGTTTACAAATTAGCATAAACTGACTAGCCACTAAACCCCAGGAACACCTATTGTATTGCTGGCATTACAGCTTTGTATCACCATGCTCTGCATTTTTTTTAAAGATTTATTTATTTATTATGCATACAACATTCTGTCTCCATGTATGCCCGCACACCAGAAGAGAGTGCCAGACCTTATTACAGATGGTTGTGAGCCACCATGTGGTTGCTGGGAATTGAACTCAGGACCTCTGGGAGAGCAGCCAGTGCTCTTAACCTCTGAGCCATCTCTCCAGCCCCCATGCTCTGCATTTTTACATGTGTTTTGGTCTTTATGCTTGTGAGGCAACCTTCAACTGAGCTAGCACTCTAGCCACAGAAGTAACTAACTCCTTATCTCCTGGGATATGTTCAGATTCATTGTTTAATACAGAAGCAGAAAATTACCTTGCCTGAAAGTTTCTTTAAGAACCCATTTCTGGACTGGAAAGATGCCTCAAAGCATGGAGCTCTTGCAGAAGACTCTAGTTCAGTTCCCAGCATCTACATCAGTCAGCTCACAACTCTGTGTCACTCCAACTTCAAGAGGATCTGATGTGAGCACCCATGTTCTGATGGACACACCCACACAGAAACACATCTATATGTGTGTTTTTAAACACATATGTAAGTTTTAAAATAATAGAAGTAAAAAAATTATCTTAAAAAACAAAACTCAGTGGAGCAATAATGACACGCCTTTAGTCCCAGCACTCAGGAAACAGAGGCAGATGGGTCTCTAAATTCAAGGCTAGCCAGGGCTACACAGAGAAATTCTGTCTCAAAAAAACAAATTAAAAAAAAAAAAAAAAACCTTCATTTGTGTGCCCTGACAGCTTCCTTTATTTCTGAGCCCCTGGTTACTTTCTTCCATGTTTATTCCAAGTTCAAAGTTGACAGTGTTGGTTCCCTGATCATTTCTCAGTATTCTGGTTTCATCCTATGCTTGAGGACCCTTATGATTATATTGGACCCATCCAGATAATTTGAGTCTCCATTTGTGTCCATGATTTAGAGGCACACCTATAAGGTACTTTTTGTCAGGTCAGAGAATAGACATGTTCAGAGAATCAGAGCTCTGCTCTGGAGCCTGTTCTGCCTACTGTGTATGTTCTCCTTGATAGGAGTTGTTTGGCATCGTGTATCTAGCAGAAACTCTGTTCTATCAGAAGCTTACACTGCTTTCTGAATCACTCACAGGTCTCTGGCTACCCAGGTTCCCATGGAATCCCAGCAATGGCCGGCAGCATTTACCCAGGTCAGGCATCCCTTCTGGACCAGACAGAATTATGGAATCACAGACCTCAGGAGATGTCCGTGTGGCAGCCCAGTGTGGAGGTATTGGGGTGTTCTTGGCTATAGCCAGTTAACAGACAAAGTGTGGTTTAAGTCACCTGTTATTTATAAATCTGAAGTTGCTTGATTGTGATTATTTAATTCTAAAACCTATATACCCCATTTATCCACTTTAAGTCCATACCAAGAATTCCCTATGACAAAGGAGGAGTGAATTCCAGGCCAACCTGGATTACCTAACCAGGTGGCCTTATCTCAAACAAAACAAAGTCTGAAGAGATGACTCAGCAAATAAAAGCACACTATCTGAGCAAGCCTGACAACCTGAGTTGATCCCCAGTACACACTGTGGAAGGAAATTACCAAGTCCTGAAGTCCTCTGACCTCGATCCGCATGTATGGTTACACATACATAGTAATAATAAAAGCAAAATGTAGGGGGCTATAGAGATGGCTCAGAAGTTAAGAGAACTAACTGGTCTTCCAGAAGACCTAGGTTTAATTCCCAGCACCCACATAGCAGCTCATAATTGTCTGTAACTCTGGTTCTTGGGGACCTGGCATCCTCACATAGACATTCATGCAGCAAAACACCAGTAAATCTTAAATAAATCTTAAAAAAAAAAATCAGAAAGAGAAACATGCCCCTAGCCAGTCTTTTCTAGTTTTGTGTTTCTACTAGTGCTAATACATTCTTTGGTGTGTTGGGCTGTTTCTTTTTTCTTTTTTTAATTTTAATGACATTCAATTGTATACTTTACAAAAGCTCTTTGAGTTCTAAACCTTTAATTTATCTATACATATATAGACATATATGTGCTGCCCATTACAAATTGTAGATTATAACACTACTCTTTAAATATATCAGTAGCGTTTAGCAAATATAAAATGTGTACATTATATAAACATGTTTCTTGGCATGGACTGTTTCTTAGAAGCAGCCAAAACACGTGAATATTAGACATAGTAAATCTCAGCCTTCAAATTGGTGGCTGGAGTTTGAGAGGCCCTGTGCCCATGACTCTTTGGCTTAAGAGTTTTGAAAGACCCACATCACAAAGTGGAAATATGAGAATGAACTCAGGAAACTGAATGTTCTCTTGACATTGTCCTTTCCAGGACTCAGCAGCTTTGGACCTTCGAGGAATGGGACAGGTGCTTCCTCCTCATCTGATGGAAGAGCGGCTAATCCGGCAGCAGCAGGAAATGGAAGAGGACCAGCGCTGGCTGGAGAAGGAAGAGCGATTTCTGGTAACACTGTGCAGAGTAGTCAGCCCCATCCCAGTGTACCTTACACACTACTGCAGAACTCCATTTCTAATAGAAGCTAAAGACTGACTTTACATCTGGTCCCAAACCCTTGCCATCATAGGCTGTTTGTTATTATTGATGATATTTTAGGAATCCACTTCTAAAATTTTGTAGTGTATTGTAGCTCAGAGATTTCTCTTGAGTTTTTTTTTTCCCCATTACCACATTGTTGAAACAAAAAGAGTCCATGTTAGTGTGAAGGTAAAACATTGTATCTCAGCCCTGTAGAAGTGTGCTAACATGGCTGCAAGTCCTGTCTGCCTCCTGTCCCAGCTGCAGTGTGTCTGACAGATGCATCTGGACCTTGAAGAGAATGGTCTTTCAGGCACCTCTTGCTGACAGTCCCATTCAGAAGTCTCTAAGTGACAGAGAGCTCTCTTTCTGATCCTTCTGAATTGCTGTGTTCTTGCCTCAGCACTGGAGCCTGTGAGACTTGTTGTTCTTCCTCTCCAGCCTTAGGAAAAAATGTTACTGGAAAGAACCAGGGTTCCTGCTGCTTCCAAAGTCTGTGTTAGTAGTTTTACCTGGGGAACCCAAACCTGGGTCCTTATGCTTTGGCTGAGTCATTATTTACCAATGTCACCGGCATTGATTAGGTTGTTGTTGTTGTTTTGTTTGTTTGTTTTTGTTGTTGTTTGTCAACCTGACACAGGCTAAAGTTATTTGGGAAGAGTGACTTGGTTGAGAAAACTCTCCATAAAATTTGTAGATAACTCTGTAGTGCATTTTCTTAATAATGATTGATGTGAGTGGGCATAGCTCCCTTGGGGTAGTGCCATACCTGAGCAGGTGGTCTTGAATGATTGTGAGAATGCAGGCTGAAGCCAGCGGTGGTGGTGCACGCCTTTAATCCCAGCACCCAGGAGGTAGAGGCAGGTGGATCTCTGTGAGTTCGAGGCCAGCCTGGTCTACAAGAGCTAGTTCCAGGACAGGCACCAAAGCTACAGAGAAACCTTGTCGCAAAAAAAAAAAAAAAAAAAAAAAAACCAAAAAAGAAAAAAGAAAATGCAGGCTGAGCAATCTATGGGGAACAAGTAGCAATCCTCCATGGTCTCCAGGTGGAGCCTGACTTGAGAGTTGTAAGCTAAAATAAACCCTTCCTCCCCAAGTTGCTTTTGGCCATGGTGTTTTATCTTAAATAGAAACCTAAGACACCACCTTAGTGCTGTACTTTATGTTAATAGGCAAGGTACAGAGAGGGCAGAATTTAGTCCTGGCCCTAAACTCCTTGAAGTTTATGACAGGAAGCATTTAAATCAACCAGTGATGGTTTTGTAAGGCAGTGGTTTCAAGCAATACTCTGAAAATTTCATTCTTTGTCTATAGCTTTCTTTTTTTGAGAGGGGTTGTTTCTGCGCTGTCTTGACAATTGAATAAAGAGCCTCATGCACGCTAGCTATTTGTTCTAACACTGATCACAGATTAAAACATGCTCCACCAGCTTGAATGCAAAGGCTTCTCTCTCTCCTTCCTCTCTCCCCAGGCAAATCTCTCCCAGCCCTTAAGTAGGCATGGGCTGCCAATCCCGGATTGCCAGGTGGGCACTGTCCATAGGTTCATGCATATGCAGGCAGCTGATAATCATTGCGTGATCATAGCATAGGTCAGGCCTTAGCCATCTCAGGAGTTGATTATACATCTCCATCAGGTGTGATTCCACGCAGCTCGCTACACTCATCACATGGATTTATACTTTATTTCCCTTTGGAGAAAAATATCTTACATTTCAGAACCTTCAATTTGTTAAGGCAGATCTAGATTTTAAGTCATGCCACAAAATAATAATAACTATAGTAGTAGTAGTAGTAGTAGTAGTGATTTAGAATACACCAATTGTTCCCTGACTTATGTCTTAAGCTTTTTTTTTTTTTTTTTGGTCCAGAAAGCCTCTCCACCATTTTACACACACACACACACACACACACACACACACACACAGACAGAGAGACAGAGGGGGTTGGAGGGAGGGAGAGAGAGCACATTTGTTGCATTTTTAAAAATGAAATTATTTGAATTTGATAGGCTTCAGTGCGGGTGTGGTGTATGTGGCTCCATTGGGCAGAAGTTTGCTGCTGATCACTGTTGAATGCTGTCACCCACTTTCTCTAACAACTGAGGTCAAAAGAAAAGAGGAGCCCTGTGCCCCCTGTAGTGCTGGGGAGACAGCAGAGTCCAGATAATGTGTGAGCTAAGCCTTGAAAGAGAAACTGGAATTTGCAAAGCAAACAGGCACAGGAAATACATTCCTGGCAGTGGGAAGAGCGTGGGTAATGACGTGGGGTCATGGGACTGGCTTAGCCAGATGTGACCCGTGCTGATCTCCTGAGGGAGTTGGGGAATTCTCATCGGAAGGCTCAGGGGGCCTGCATTCTACAGGATTGTTTTTCTTTGAGATTGTGTGCATGCACTGTACCTCTCATTCTGAAGCACATGGTGAGTTCTGGTGAAGGCCCCACTTGTGCTCCGTGCAGGGTGTCTCCAGTCTCTGAGTAGCTTATGTGCATGCATAGTCCATCTGCAGAGCTGAGTTACATGTCCCCAGAGCCCTGGCTGTAATGTCCACCTTGAGTCTCCCTCCATATGCAGCAGAAAGGCCTGTTGGAGTGTCTTGACAATTCAATTCTAATTTTTCCAGTATAGGTTCTGTAATCTCTGAGGAGATACCTGTCTTTGCTGCCTGAATAAAGTGCTGTCTGTCTGTGAAGAGCCTCACCTGTATCAGCTCCTCCTTGGCACTAAGCTGCCCGGCTGTGCATTTTTGTATGATACACTTTTTTTGTATTGTTAGGATTTAGCTGTTGCTGCTGCTGTTGCCAGGACTCACTAAATTGTCTAAAGTAGCCTTGAACTAATCATTGTGTATCTTAGAAGGTCCCAAGACTGCAGCCCTCCATCAGAGTAACTGAGATCACAGGCCTGAGCCAATATCTCCAGCTTGCCCACTATCTCCTGACAGTCACCCTGTGAATTCTTTCTTTGACCTGTCCATTTAGGTTTTCTAGATGTACAACTGAGTTGCTTTTTCATTTTTTTTTTAATTAGGTTGGGACTGTATCTCACTGGTAAGATGCTTGACCTGTATGTATAAGGTGCCGGGTTCAGGCCTCACTTTAGGGAATTAAAAAAAAAAATCCCACCCCTAAAATCTTAGTACTTAGCTAATTGAGGCAATGTTGCTGTGAGTTCTTGGCAAACCAGGGCTATAGTGTGGGTCCCAGTATCAAACCACCTTGTGTTTTCTTGTCTTCTTCATTTTCAGTTCTTGTTACAATATTTGTTTTTCTCTCGAAGAATTGCCTGCTTGTGCCTTGTATTCTTTGCCTGCTTTCATTTAAAGTTTTCTGTTCTCCATTAAGCTTGGCTGTATGTATTAAATGTTCTACTAATTGTAAGGGGTTAGTAGAACCCTTCCAAGTCCAGTGGAAGCATCTCATAGGCTTGACTGCCCTCTGCAGACAAATCCCTGTATGTTTACAACTGCTGATTGGTGCTCATAATTGAGTGATTATTCCTGGTGAGGTGTTTTCAAAAACAGTCTCCTCCTTCCCCCCTTCATCCCTGTTCTCCCCTCTCCCCTCCTTCTGGCTGTTTCATCAGAACATCAAAGTCGCCAAATCCTGAACTAACTCTGTTAGCTTTCTCTTTGGTTTTTGTATCATTTCCCTTATTCATTTACCTGAAAAGCTGAGGTGTTATCCCTTCTTTGCCTTCTGCCATATTCACTGTCACCAGATCCTATTAGTTTTGAGTCCTGACACTCTCACATCTTCCCTAACCATTCTGGGTCTCTCAGCATGCACTGGTGAGCAACTTTGTGTACAACAGTAAGACAGATGCAGTGCCCTTTGTGGTGAGGAGAAAGACACAGACTAATGGACAGTGGACAGAGAAGGAAAGAGTTAAGTGCTTTGAAAAGAATCTGAAGAAGGTGGTGGCGCACGCCTTTAATCCCAGTACTCGGGAGGCAGAGGCAGGCGGATCTCTGTGAGTTCGAGACCAGCCTGGTCTACAAGAGCTAGTTCCAGGACAGGCTCCAAAGCCACAGAGAAACCCTGTCTCAAAAAAACAAAAAAAAGAAAAGAATCTGAAGAAGGATACCTTTCAGCCCCAGAGAGTGAACAGATATGTAAAGCCCCAGGATAAACCTGCACGGTGCGGCACAGAGTGGATGCTGTCCTATCCTAATCTGGTAAAGAAAAAAAAAACAAAGTGTCTCCTGCCACCTACCATTTGCCACTTGCTGTCTTCAGAATACTGACTGCAGTTGCATCCATTTTCATGTAGAACCCTGGAAGGAGGAAGGGCAGGGTATACAGGGTAGAAGGCGGAGGCAGGCAAACCTAAGGGCTTCCCTCTTGAGCTCCAAGTGGGTGGAGGAGAGAAACTCTTAATTGAGTAATAAGTAATCTCTCTGGCCCATTTGAATTACATGAAATGTTCTCTGAAATGCTGTCACTCTTGCTATGTGTTTTCCCTGCTAAACTGAGAGCTCCTGGGAACAGTCATTATCCCTCCCATCACTGTTCAGGCCCTGTGCTTAGTATAGAAGATGCCAGCACTGGAATCAATAAGCACTGCTCACCTCATGCCATTCCTTGTGCTTCTGCATCTGACTTGGTAGATTGTTCCTACTCGCCATGTGTTTGGGCACAGATATACTCTGGAGGGCCACCACTGAGATTTGTGTCCATGCACCAACCCTCAAGCAGAAATGGATCTGAGAGTGCAGTGAGGGTCAAGTGTGGTGATGTGTGAGCAGGAGAGAACAGAGCCTGTTTTTCTGCAGAGGACACCCCTCCCACCTGCTTTTATCTGCATGTCTGTAAGCTCCTGCACCACAGAGCCACATACCTTCTTGGAACAACACATTGCACCCCTGTCCAATCCCTGAACATCTGCAACTGTTGAACCAGACATGACTGAGAGTTTGCAACCACTTTAAAGAAACCATACTAAAGACAAAACAGTAGCTGCCCTCTGTTCGATCCTCAAGGCTTCAGTAGTCTACATGCAGCATGTTTCTCTCAGAGTGCAATGTCTGCAGAAAATGAGGATCTTATCAAGTGTGTAGACCATTACAGATCAATACTCTCAAGAAATAAAAATCGGCCAGGTGGTGGTGGCGCACGCCTTTAATCCCAGCCCTCGGGAGGCAGAGGCAAGCGGATCTCTGTGAGTTCGAGGCCAGCCTGGTCTACAAGAGCTAGTTCCAGGACAGGAACCAAAAGCTACGGAGAAACCCTGTCTCGAAAATTCAAATAAATAAATAAATATAAAAATCAGTTAATAGAAAAATGATATTTCTTTTTTAAAGATTTATTTATTTGGCCGGGAGGTGGTGGCACACGCCTTTAATCCCAGCACTCGGGTGGCAGAGGCGTGCGGATCTTTGTGAATTCGAGGCCAGCCTGGACTACAAAAGCTAGTTCCAGGACAGGCTCCAGAGCTACAGAGAAACCCTGTCTCAAAAAAAAAAAAAAAAAATTTTATTTATTTATTATGTATACAGTGTAAAGCTAGTTCCAAGACAGGCTCCAGAGCTACAGAGAAACCCTGTCTCCAAAAAAAAAAAAGAAAAAAAAGGATTTATTTATTTATTATGTATACAGTGTTGTGTTTGCATGGGTGCCTGCTCACCAGAAGATCTCCTTATAGATGGTTGTGAGCCACCATGTGGTTTCTGAGAAATGAACTCAGGACTTCTGGAAGAGCAGCCAGCAGCCATCTCTCAAGCCCCCCGAAAAAATGATATTTCTAAAGAAAGACAATATGCAAGCCAAACTTCCTTATTTCTTTTATGCATGCATCTGTGTGTGCACATGAAAGCAGGCATGTTTGTGTATGGTGTGTTTAATGTATATGTAGATTACTTTGAGAAGTCGGTTCTCTCCTTCTCCCATGGAATTCAAGAACCAAATTCAGGTTCAGATTTGTCTCAGCAAACGCTTTCACCTCCTGAACCATCTCACTGGCCCAGACTGCCCTATAAACTCTGCCATCCTAAAATAATTCCTGGCTGTGGAAGCTTGAGAAGATAAACACCATGTCCCCTGTGGTGAACTGGACAGCCGTTGTGGGTTGTACTCCCCACTGTAAGCAGATAGACTCTGTTACTTGAAAGTTGACTAGTTCTGCCTATAATACTGTCCAAATCTTTTTTCCACTGGATCACAATAACTATTGCTTGGAAGACTTAGGTTTCCAGAACTTATGCTAAGTTTTGAGGTTGCTGCCTTTAACTGCTAACGACATCCACTGAGTCATTTACCAAGTGTTTGGGTGGGTCAGAAGTCTCTCCTCAGATCATAGTCCTGCACAGAATAATTCCGGTGACAGGTGCTCGTGCCTGAGGTCATGTGTTCTCTTGATTGCAAATACTCTGTTTTACTGTACCTCCCTTCTTTCCCTACCCAGCTCAAGATTGTGACCTTTCTTAGATGGCCTGTGCATGAGAATCACTGCTGTAAAGCTCTTGCTAACAGACTCCTTTGCCAGAATGCTGACAGCCAGAGTAGAGCTACAGTCTAATGAGAAACCTTGTTTTCCTTCTGAGAATTGCTTAAAATAGTGACTTGGCATCTTATTACTGTGCACAGTACTGTACTAAAAAAGGGGACTTTTTATAAAGTTTAAAATGTAGAAGGCCTGTCTACATAAAGCCTGTTCTGTGTTCCTCTCACACAGTGGACCCAGTCAGTCCTGATGAAAGAAAACCAAAGAGGGAGCTAGGGCATAGTAACAAAGTGCTGCCTGCCAGAGAACAGACTGCTCTCAGAGTCTCCATACAGTGGCCTCCGTACAGGCTTCCTGGGAAAAAGATCTCTATATTAAAAGCCTTAGGCATTTTCTAGCAACACGAGTGTGGAGTCAGGAGCTGACCTGTTTGTTGCTGCATCCCAAGAACCTGATTCAATGTCACACAGGTGGAACCAGCAAATGAAAACAGTACAAGACCCCACACTGCACAGCAGATCCCCTTCCAGTCATCAAAGTGCCCCTCTGACCAGGCATATGGTTCTGGAAGAAGAAGTGCAGGGCCTTACCCCAAAAATTAAAAAGAAGGGGCACACAAATGGCTCAGTGAATAAAGGCACTTGATACTAAGCCTGAAAACGTGAGTTTGTTCCCTGAGACCCACACAGTTGAAGGTGAACATCAACTCCCTCAGGTTGTCTTCTGACCTCCACTCATGAGCCATGGTATGTGTGTATGCACGTTCACGTACACACTAAATATATAATTAAGGATATTTAATATTTATAGAGGATAGAAATCATTCAAGGTGCACTGAGCTAGTCAGAAGATCGCTGACAGAACACATCTAACATGTTCAAGGACCTCAGTTACATTCCCAACACCAAAAAGGAAAAGAATTGTGTGCTTATCATCACATACCCGCTTGGGAACACAAATAGCACAGTGACACTGTGTTTCTCCTAGAGATGGTGGCGGGTAGAAAAAAGTACCTGGAAGCTGGTTGGTACTGTAGTGGGGGTGGGGCTGCAGTATTTGAGAATTGGGTATAAAATGATGAACTTAAGTCCAAATATCTGACAGTAACATACACATACCAAATGAAATTATCTTGGTCTTTGTTTTCATCTCTAGAAACCTGATGTGAGGCTCTCTCGAGGCAGCATCGACAGGGAGGACGGGAGTTTTCAGGGTCCGGTAAGCATCTACCTGTACTCTCCCCAGAGCTTGGTCTCAAATTCTGCTATGCTGGACAGCCAAGCAAGCATATTCACATTCGTGATATGGGATAGGATGGCCTTTGTGTAAATAATGGGAAGGTTATCTAAAACCATCCATATGCCGTGTACCAGATTCTTTCATTCCTGTCCTGTTACTAATACGGACTTTTTTCTTTTCTGTTTTTGTTTTTGTTTTGTTTTTCAAGACAGGATAGCTATGGCGCTCTGATATATACTTTTAGAAGTACTGTAAGGATCAGAGTAACAACTACACACAGTTGTGATTTGCTAACTTTTTATACCGTTTGGTTTTCTGATTTGGTTGGGGTTTCTAACATAGGGTCTCATGTAGACAAGACAGGCCTCAAAATTGCCAAGTAGTCGAAATTGGCCTTAAACTCTTCCCTACCTCCACTTCCTGGGATGATAGGTACGCCACTTCATGCTGGGCATGACTGCAAATTTTTCCAGAGTCATAAAACTTGTTCAAGCAAGATGTCTTTTTTCTGCGTGTTAAGACAGAAACACCTGAATTTTCTTTAAACAGCTAGCCCTTAAGACAGAACCCATACAACTGCTTACCAGTTCTGTTCTGTAACAGGTATGCCTTGTTAGATGATTCTATAGTGCTCTGAGAACACACCCTCCTAGTTTTGTTGAAATCCCAACCTCTGAGTGTTCATATTGTGTGTGAATTTTACTACTGGGCTTATGAGTACAGGACAGCCAACAAACGCTAGCATTAAAGGTCTGTCCATGTTGGCCTTGTTTTTGTGACTCCTCTTATACAGGACACTTGGATGTTCCCCCATGCACTTCTGCTTCCAAAGTGTTGCATATCCTCACCTCAGATCAGAATTTATGCTCCGTGTCTTCCCTGTTTTTTTTTTTCCACTTTGCTTCAGCTACATAAGGCAAGAATCTGTTTTGTACCCACAACAGTGCCAAGAACACAGCTGGAACTCAATAACTTTCCTAACATTCAATAAGTAGATGGCATCTGAAATAAAAAGCACTGTACAAAAGCAAGTGGTTAGAAAATCATTCTTCATACCCTCTGCCCTGAGGAATTTGCAAGTGTGGGGGTCGGGGGTAGTCTGGGACCCTGCTTAGTGATAGAGTATGCCCTTTTAATGCAGGAGGTATCCTGGGTTGGTTCTCCAGAACCACTAAAAATAAGAGGGTTTGTCCAGGTGTGTGGCATATACTTGTAGTCTCAGAATCTTAAGCTGTTGGGGCAGAGGGGTGGAGAGATGGTTCAGTGGGTATGAGTTGGTTGGACTGTTTGCTGTTCTTTTGTGAGGACTCGGGTTCAGATCCCAGCACTCGTATCAGGCAGCTCACAAGTGCCTGTAACTACAGTCCCAAAGGATCTCTTCTGATATCTTCAGCTACCTGTCACACATATGTGTATATACTCATACACACATACTTACACACATACTTGAACATTTTAAAATCTTTTTTTAAAAAATGATGCTGTGGCAGGAAGGAGGATCAGTTCAGCTCAGGATTCCCTGCCCTGACTGGGCAACATAATAGAATCTGTCTTTAAAAACCAACAAGCTAGGCTGGAGAGAGGTTTAGAGGTTAAAAACACTGACTGTTCTTCCAGAGGTCCTGAGTTCAATTCCTGGCAACCACATGGTGGCTCACAGCCATCTATAATAGAAATCTGTTGCCCTCTTCTGGCCGGCAGGCACACATACAGACAGAACACTATAAAGAAAATAAATAAATAAATCTTTTTAAAAAAAAAAAAAAACAACCAACCAGCTTTTTGATGTGATAAAACACCTTGATCAAGGCAATATATAGAGAGAGAAGAAAAAGCTTATTTTGAGCATATGGTTTCAGAGGATTAGAGTCTATAATGGTAAGGACAGCAAGGCAGCAGGCAGCTAAAACAGCAAGCATCAAGAAATGTTGTGCTGTCTGTAAATTCTCAGAGCCTGTCTCCAGTGACACACTTCTTTTTACTATTATTAATTAATCAATTAATTAACTTTTTCCCAGCCCAGTCACAGTTTCGTTTCCCTTCCTCCTCTTCTCCCTGTCCCTCTCCCCCAATGCCCTCCCACCCCCAAATGCACTCCCTCTCCTTTCCCTTCAGAAAAGCTCCAGCCTCCCGTGTATGTCAGCTAGCCCATGGCATATCAAGTTACAGGAGACTAGGTACCTCTTCCTCTATTAAGGCTGAATTAGGCAACCCAACAGGAGGAAGGGGTCCTATAGCAGTCAACTTAGTCAAAGACAGCCCCCACTCCCTCTGCCAGGAGTCACACAAGAGGATCAAGGTCCACAACCGTAACACATGATACACTTCTAACAAGGCCTGAACCATCCCCAAACAGTGCCACCAGCTAAGGACCAAGTGTTTAAATATGTTATAACATACAATGGAGATGTGAACTCAAACGGCTATACCATTATTTAAATAATTTAAATATTCAGATGAATGATTTTTTTAAGTCAAAATAAATAGCATTTAAAAAACTGATTCTGGTGCAGGGTTATGAAACAGTTTTGAGGGCAGTGCAGGTATAATCTGTACTAATCTTGGGTAAGAATGGTCTTGTGTTTCATCTTCTTTGGAGGAGCTCCTAAGGCTATCCTACATTTGCCTCAGACATGCTGTGTAGCAAAGGTTGACCTGAAATTTCTGATCTTTTGCTTCTACCTGCCAAGTGCTAGGATTGCATGCATGTGTCACCATGGCTGATATGGTACTAAGGAAATACATTACCAACTGAGCTACACTCCTAACCATGAAACAGTTTTAATTGTGTTTGCTACTCTGTGGCTCTGGTGTTTTAAAGAAGTGCTTACTTACTCCAGTTGAAAACACAGCAGTATACATGTACATACATATATATGTATGTGTGGGTGTATATATGCGTGGGTATGGGTAGGTGAGTGTGTGTGTGTATATATACATATACATATACATATACATATATATATATATATATATATATCCCCTAATAAGATCTTCATCACATCTAGATTTGAGTATAGTTTTGTTGTTCTCCAATGGTAGGCATCCAACCCAATCACTCATACATACTAGCAGCCATACCTCTAGCAAATAGATTAATGCAGTTTCAGAAGTTGGGTATAGTATCGCGTACCTGTTATCCCGGGTCTTGGAAGGTAGAGGCAGGAGGGTCAAACTTAAAAACAGTCTAGATCGGTGGTTGTGGTGCACACCTTTAATTCTAGCACTCGGGAGGCAGGGCAGGCAGATCTCTATGAGTTTAAGGCCAGCCTAGTCTACAAATCGATTTCTAGGACAGGCTCCAAAGCTACACAGAGAAACCCTGTCTTGTAAAACAAAAACAAAACAAAATATCAGCCTAGACTACATAGAAAGATCCTGCCATCACAGATTAAAAACATAGATTTAGACAGTTTTAGACATTACAGCTGGAGGAGGAATTGTCTTACGTAGAACTGTCTTTTTATCCATCAGTGGATAAACAGATTCAGAACTGTCTGTGAATTGGATTTCCTGACTGGGCCTGGGCAATGACCTAGATAACACTTTTCTTCTCCACAGACTGGAAACCAACACATCTATCAGCCCGTGGGGAAACCAGGTAAGTGAAGAAATGTATTGTGAATGAGGAAGTATGTATGGTTTGGCAGGAGTAAGATTTAAGCAGAATGTCCTATAGTGCTCCCAATCTTCCTCTACTCACTAGTGTGGTGTTCACCACATTAGGACTGTGCTTAGAGTACTAGAAAGCTGAGCTTCCTGACATAAATCATCAGAGGCCCCTTCTCAGAACATGAGCCTTCTGTATGCTGTAACAATGCTAGTAGTAATGGGTTTCAGAGTGCTTGGGAACCTGATCAGTAATGTGTGATGGGGACCTTTTTGCTTTTCCAGATCCTGCAGCTCCACCAAAGAAACCACCACGCCCTGGAGCACCTGGCCACCTAAGCAACCTGGCAAGCATCAGCAGCTCTGGGGACAGCTACAATGAGGGTGTCAAGGTGGGCATCTAAGCCTGTGTAGCATAGTCTGTTTCAGGTTGGTGGGGTCACTGGGTCTTCAGCACATGACACTTACATTGTAGTGGTCAGAGACGTTGACAAGGAGACGGTAAGAAGACCCAGGATTTAGCATCACTTGTTCTGAACCTCTCAAGATTCTAAAAAAGTATTGACTGGAGTCTTTGCTGTTGTTCTCTAAGCATGCTAGACTTGAGGGACTTTGTTCCAGAATCCTATTGCCAGATGAGAGCAAATGAGCTAGATATGCCTTGTTTTAAATATGAAGCCAGAATGTCCAGAATAAGTAGGTGCTCACTGTTGTCTACACATAATTCTAAATAGAGCCTTGTGGAAAGGTATTTTCTGTTTCAACTCAGAATTGTACTTATAAAAGGACCGCTGGAGCAGTAAGACATATCTGCTCAGATACATCTGCAAGCTTTCTCTGGAGGGCCTCCTTAGCTCCCTCCCTAGGACTGTATCACCAGACATCACTGTCTGGCTTTCGTGGTTCCCCTTATCTTCTAAGGACAGAAAGGAGGTGTCCACCCTATTACTCCCACCCCTATCTTCTAGTCCAACACTTAAAGGTGGGATCTCTTCATTTCCCACTTGGTGACAGACCCCTCTTCCTGTGTTCTACTTTTCAGTCTAATACACTTTTTTTTTTTTGCATTTTAATAGCTCTAGAATAGGGGTGGAATTTGTTTCTTAGTGGGTTAGGTTTTTGTCTTTTTTTTGTTGTTGTTGTTGTTTGCTTGCTTGCTTGCTTTGCTTTTTTAATGAGGGACTGAGGGATAGGTTAGTTGGTAAGGTGTTTGCCACATAAGAATGAGGGCCTGAGAACAGTTCCCCAGAACCCAATATTAGGTTTGATAGCATATGCTCAAATATCAGTAGTGAGGAGGCAGAGAGAAATAGTTTCTTAGTTAGGCTTCCCTGGCCGTCTACCCTAGCACAATCAATGAACCTCAGGTCCCAGTAAGAGANGGGGGGGGGGGGGGGGGGGGGGGGGGGACACAAGATAGATGGGTGTGGTGTTGCAAGCCCTTAATTTAAACTCCAATACTGTGGAATCAGAGACAACAAATCTCTGTGAGTACAATGCCAGCCTAATTTACAACGTGAGTTCCAGAAAAGCCAGCACTATAAAATTTTACTATTTACAAAATAGTAAAATAAAAACAAAATGGTTGGCAACTGAGGAGCAATATCTGAGGTTGACTTCTTGCTACTATGCATGTACATGAAATCATGCAAACATACAAAATGATGTATCATTCATGTGGTGGTATATTCCTATAATCCCATTACTCAGAAAACAAACAGGAAGGTTGAGTTCAAGGCCAGCCTGGGCTATATAACGTGACTGTCTTTGTTGTTGTTGTTTAAGAAAAGGCTCCTGTTGTGATGGATGACACCTTAGATCTGATGAGTATGGGTAGTTATTTAGTGCTGCCTCTGCCATCAGTCTCACAAGGTTGGTAGTGGTCATATTTTTCACACTAGATAATCATGGTTCACAGAAGTGGAATAGGTTGTTCAGGGTCATTCAGAGCCAACAATTGGACCAGCATGCCACTATGGGCCCTGTACTGCATACTGAAAGTGCCCTCTTCTGGGTGATCAGAGTGATGTGATGTCATCTCAAGAGTGAGAGTCAGGGAGGCACATCTTCTCCATGCTCAGGGCAGGTTGGTCTATGGCTCTGAGGGCATCATTGTCATGTCCATTCCCAAAGTGACAAGAGCATCATGGATTTACTTTGGCACACATTAGCATACTCGTGCAGTTATGTTGAGTAAACACAGCTGGTCTAGTGTACTGCTGAGATCAGTCCTAGAACACCTGCTAGCTAGTCTTAGCTCCATAAACCCAGGCAACTTCTCAGCAGCTGTCAGCAACACTGGGTAGTCTTGGAGAAGAAACAGGTGAAGACACAAATCTTCTAATACTGTGTCATTAAATCTGAAAGGAGAAAGGAAAAGTTAGAATAATGAACTATTCTCATTTTCAAAAGCAGCCAAGAGTAAACCTTTGAACTGTCTTGTGTTATAATGAATAGCTGGCCTGGAGTCCTGACATTTTCCATCTTTTTTTATAGTTCATAATGAGAGTAACATGATGAAATATACATGAGAATACTCTCTAATATAGGATGTTGTATAGGGAGAAATCTTGTGAGAGAAACAGACTTACTTCACCTAGATGAAGATGATATATGTGTCTTTTTTTCATTATCTGCTTAGTACAGGTAGTTAAACCCCTCCTAAAGGAACGATATTGGGCTTTTTTAAACAGTATTTTTTTATATAAAAAAGTTTGCCTTGAATTATTTGTAGCTCAAATAATTCACCCAAATAACATTTAGCCAGAAAAAGTCTCCAGCTTTCTTTGTAGGTTTTACTTTTTGTAGTTCTGTTGTTTCCTAGTACTTGTGCTGGACAGGCAGTTTGCCACTGAGTTCATGTCCTATTTTTCTTCCTCTGGGTTTTAAGCAGAGTAGGAACTGACTATCTCTAATGGGTGGTGGGTTTTTAACTGCCAGCCCCAGAGTTTCTAAGTTATCAAAACTCTGGACAATAAAAAAAAAAAGTCTATAATAGAGCCAGGCAGTAGTAGCACACGCCTTAATCCTAGCACTTGGGAGGCAGAGGCAAGCGGATCTCTGAGTTTGAGGCCAGCCTGGTCTACAGAGTAAGTTCCAAGACAGGCTTCAAAGGTACACAGAGAAACCCTGTCTTGAAAAACCAACAAAATAAAAATTAAAAATCTGTAATAGATGTTTCTCCAGCCAAGCTCTGACTTCTGGTATGCTACTATGATGGGTCCTAGAGGCAGGACGACAGCTCCTATGACTACTCGATCAAAGAGTGTCATGCAGAGAAGAAGCTTTAAGCAGCATAAACTAAATTTCCATTGGTCTACTAAAACTGAACAGTTTTTTCTATCTTGATAGTAATGCTCTTTAGCTATCCCCTCTGGGAAGCCTGTAGACCTTCCTGTACTGGTATTGTTTAAGTGCACTTCCTATGAAGAGAGACAGAGAAGTAACTACACTATGATCCTCAGTGCCTTAGAAACCTCTGGGTGTTTGCACCTCTGAACTGTAGAGGCTTATAGTGGCATGGAGGCTTTTAGATAGGTCTATAGGTGGCAGTCTGCTATATTTTCCCTGCCAATCTGTTCACAGTAAGATAGCTAGGGGTTTAACTGAGGAGACAAAACAGCAAAGCCACCCAGTTTCTAAAACAAAAATACCAACCTGATTTATACCAATAATCCAAGCATTTTGAGATCCTAAGGCAGGTAGGTTGAGAGTTTAAGACTAACCTAGGTAGGCTACATAATAAAATCCTGTCTTTAAAAGATTTAAAAACATACACACAAAACAACCACAAAAAAAGTGCAGAAAGGAGAGTTAAAAAGAGTTAAAAGCTTCTGAAGTATTTAGACACAGCCCCTACCTATAAGTTCATCTTAGGCATCAAGGAATTGAAGGCTAAGAGACCATATGCAGTGACTGAGGCTCATCTCCTGGAAGTCAAATGGCAGATCACTGATTACATATGCCCTTCTCCTCGCTCGCAAAGAGCCTTGCTCTCTCTTGCACGACTGCCCGTTGCCACTCACAGGCTTTGCATGCTGTCCTCATTTATCTCATGGGAATGAATGTTGCATGGCAGGGTTCTAGTTATGTGCTATGCAAAGAGCTGATGGCAGGCACAGGCACTTCTGACAGCCAGTGAGCAGAGAGTACCCGGAACCTTTGTAGTTAGTACCCAGGTATTCTGCTCATATGTTATATGGGAGTTTTCTGCTGCCTTATTAATATTGTTTTTCTTTTTTCCCTTTCTCTGATAAATCCTTTAACTTTTCCTCACCTTCTGTTCGACAATAGCCATGGAGGGTAAGCACATCATATCTGTGTGTCTGTCTGGATTGCTTTATCACACCCAGCTCTCTGCATGTGACTCTGGACTAGCACGTGGATAGCCCTGTGGGAGGGCACACTTGCTTTGTTTCTCACTTCTCATGACAGACAGGTGCCAAAAAGAGCATTTTTTCCAGAGACTGGTACATGACCAGCTTTACAATGAACTCAGATGCAACTGTCTGTTCCAGTATGCCTTTCCAAGGCATCCAGAAGTCTGGCATAACCTCAGGACCATAGCAGACCCATAATTGTATATTTAGTCTTTCTAAAATATACCCACACAGCTTGAATTTTGAAACATTACTCAAGCCTTTCCCCTAGGAAAGAGCCCCATGTCATTCTGCCCTCAGCACAGAGGATATCATGAGTAATATCTGGCATCTCTGGACCCAGGTCCTGTATCATGTTTACACTCTATGAATTAATATGCTTCTCCTCATTACTACTCGAGGAACCAAGCCCTGCTGGCCTTGGTTTATCAAACAATCACCATAGGACTGGCAGGAAGTCCCTTCTCTGCTACATGAATATGAGTAGCTCTATGAAAGTAGATGATGTCTGCCTAAAGCAAATACATGTGAGTCCACATTTATCATCATGAAAAGAGCACTTTGCTGTTAGTGTGTGAAGGCAGCAAAGCTGAGCAGAACTTAAAACCAGCAGAGATCCTTATTATTGATGCTGTTTGATCATTTAGTAATGTTTCAGTCACTTTCCCTAAAGTCCAATCAATCCTTGCTTATAAATTCTGTGGGTTGTTTCCCTTGTGAATGACTTAGGGGTCTGGGACACTTAATCTCCACTCTGAATCTAGAGACTTTAGTGTATATGATTTCATCTCATTCCCTTTAACTGAGCTCAAAGTTGGAGGACATCACTGTCTCATTTGTTGTCCCTTGGATGGCTTGCTTTACTGTCATCCTCAAACTGAACTATGTCTGACAAACAAGAAAATTCATTACCTTCTGCATCTGCTTTGATCTCTTTTAAAGACTCTCTAACTTAATTGTGGTGATACCTCACTATCTTCTGGGAAGCAGGAAATGACCAGCTTCTGTGTTATCAGCTTCAGCCCCAGGAAATCAGCCCCCCTCCCACTGCCAACCTCGACCGGTCCAATGACAAGGTATATGAGAACGTGACGGGCCTAGTGAAAGCTGTCATTGAGATGTCCAGCAAAATCCAGCCAGCTCCTCCGGAGGAATACGTCCCTATGGTGAAGGTAAAATCCACTCAGTATGATGAGGATGGCCTTCTTTCCCAGGGAAGCCAGAACTAATGCTTTGGGTGTAAACGCCACCACCAGATGGTGACAGTGTCCTTCGACATTACTGTAGCAAACAGTAGGCTGGGAATATACCTTGAAGCAGCAGAATCTTTTTATTACTGTTGTTTTTAAGTTTAGTGGAATGGACAAAAAAATCTAAAGAGCATAGGTTGTGTGGAATGTTGTGTAACAGTAATGCTAAGTGTGTGACTGAAGGAAGCAGCAGTGGGAGTTACTTCCTTTTGGGGAAGAGGTGGAAAAGAACATGAAGGGAATACTCAAGTACTCATGAAAGCCAGGGCACATCTTCAGCTGTCATTATTCAGTTGCCTCTGCCTTGGTTTTTAAGTATGTTCTGAAGATTGAATTGAAGTCCGTTGATGTATCTGACCTGCTCCTTGGTGTTTCTCTTAAGCAGAGGAGTGGACTTTTATGTGAGTAATGATAACCCTGTCCTGGTGGTCCTGTCCACTCAAAAGGTTGAGGCACAGCAGCCACTTGAATCCCAAGAATTCTGTACCAGCAGTATAGTAAAGACCCCTTTCCAAAAAAAGAAAAAAAAAAGTAAAAAATAATAAGGAAGACAGGCACACACCTTTAATTCCCAGCTCTCTAGAGGCAAAGGCAGGTGAATCTCAGTGAGTTCCAGGACAGCCAGGGCTACTTAGAGAGACCCTGTCTTGAAATTTTTTTTTTAAAAAGTAACAATAATTGGCTGTGCAGTTGTAATGCATACCTTCTTTAATCTTAGCACTTGGGAGAAAGAGGCAGGCTGATGGATCACTGTGAGTTTGAGATCAGCCTGGTCTACAGAGTAAGTTCCAGGACAGTTAGGGCTATACAGAGAAACCCAGATTGGGGGAAAATGACAATAATTTTTCGATTTTTTTTTTGTTTTGTTTTGGGTTTGGTTTGATTTTTTGGAGGATTTTTTTGTTTGTTTTGGGGTGGTTTTTTTTTTGTTTTGGTTTGGTTTTTGGCTTTTTGGTTTTTCAAGACAGGGTTTCTCTGTAGCTTTGGAGCCTATTTTGGAACTAGATCTTGTAGACAAGGCTGGCCTTGAACTCACAAAGATCCGCCTGCCTTGCCTCCTGAGTGCTGGGATTAAAGACGCATGCCACTACCGCCCAGCTGAGAATGACAATAATTAATAAAGGATGGAAAATCTGGGAGATATTGGGAGAGGAGAGAATATGAGATATATATGTATTCTATGAAAACTTTTTTTCAATTAAAAAAGTTTTTTTAAAAAGTCGTGATGGGGGTGGTTCCGTGGCTAAGAGCACTCACTGTTCTTCCAGAAGACTCAGGTTCAGTTCCCAGCAGCTACATGATGGCTTACAACTTCCTGTAACTCCAGCTTCAGGAGATAAAATGCCCTTTTCTGCTGTTTTCTGGCTTGAGTCATACACATAATACACAGGCACACATACAGGCAAAACATACATACACACTAAAAAGCCAGCACTGTTAGCAAAAGAGCTCAGTTTGCCTGTAACCACCTGTAAGTTGGGCTCAAGGGTATTCGGTGTCTTCTTCTGTCCTCCGTGTGTGTGTGTATATATATATATACACACACACACATACAGAGAGAAAGTAAAAATTCAGGAGAATACCACCACACCCAGGCCCTGCTTAGTTTTAGGTGTTGTGTAAAATTCAAAATGGGCCCCCAGCCAGGCAGTGGTGGCGCACACCTTTAATCCCAGCACTCGGGAGGCAGAAACAGGCAGATCTTTGTGAGTTCGAGGCCAGCCTGGTCTACAAGGGCTAATTCCAGGACAGGGTCCAAAGCTATAGAGAAACCCTGTCTTGAAAAACCTAAAACAAAGCAAAAAAAATAAAAATAAATAAATAAAACAAAATGGGCTTCCAAATAAGACGCACCTTGCCTCCAGGCATTGGGAACTTGTCTTTAATCAGATTAAATGCTCAGGAACAAAGGCATACACTTTGTCTACTTGTCTGAACTGTGAGAGTGCCACAATCTGTTTGGAAGCCAGGTGGGGAAAGCAAAGAAGTGAGTTTTCACCTGTAGGAGCTTCTGATATAGCATCTGCCCTGGGCATGAGAGCAAAAGACAGTCAGACTAAATCTTCAGGGACAGTAGCCTAGTAATATGCAACACCCATCAGGACTCACAGACTTCTGTGTTTCTTATATATGACCTTTGTGTAGTGTCTCATGGTGGTGATCTCAGTATTTGGGAGGCTGAAGAGAGAAAATTACAGTGAGTTAGGCCAGCCTTGGCTACAGAGTGATACCCTGTCTAAAATAAGAAGAAATTTTCCTTTCAGGTACCAGAAGGAAAAACAGTAAAGTACATACTTGAGAAAAAATATCAGTGTTGTCCTGACATTGTGTGTGTTCTAATTCTTCTGCGGTTCTTGTCTTAGGAAGTCGGCCTGGCCCTGCGGACCTTACTGGCCACTGTGGATGAGACCATTCCTGTCCTCCCAGCCAGCACACATCGAGAGGTAGGCCACAGTGCTGGGTGGGGTCATGCTAGAGGATAGTTGTGATACTGGCTTAGTCCCAAAGTGCCCAAGATAAACAAGTTTCAGAGATTTCAACCTATGAGCTCTGGGCACCATTGTTTCTGTACTGTAGTGAGGAAGGATGGCATGAAGGAACAACATATGATTGTTGGAGGAGATCTGCTTGTTGGTTCTGTCCACCCTGCTAGCTTAGACCTGAAATAATCACACAGAACTGCTTGGCCCATTAGCTCTAGCTTCTTATTGGCTCTTATATCTTAATTTAATCCATTTCTATTAATCTGTATATCACCATGAGGTTGTGGCCTACCAGCAATGTTTCAGCACTTCTATCTCCCACAGCTTCCTAAGACAAGAACCGCAGAAGAGACCCGGATAGTCACCCAGAGTTCTTCTGTACCATTGGAGCATCCATCTTCAGCCCATAGTATCTGGCAGACTTTTCCATAAAGCAGGAAATTTCAAAGACAGTTCTGCCTATATTGGCAGTTTGTCAGTCACTGTCTTCTGTGTCCTGCAGAATGTCTGGCAGACTCTTTCATGACGCAGGAACCCCAAAGGATGGTCTCACCTTTAAGCAAGTTCAGCAGTCATTTCTCTGTGGGTCCTGCATGTCCAGTTCAGCAGTTCAGGCAAGAGTAGTTCCTTGCCCAAATAGCTAACAAACTCCATAAGGAGCTTCTTCGATGCCCATCTTCCTCTTGAAGTAATTGGTGCTGCCAGGAGCAGATGTGTCCCATTGTCATGAAAAGTACTAAATTTTTAAACATTTTAAATGCCGTATTCTGAAGGTCTCTGCAAGATTTGAAGAATCCCTAATTAACATATATATATCTCTGTATACCTAGAAAACTAACTAACATGACTACAATCTTGACTATTATGGATGATTAACTATTAACCTATATTTCTTAATTATACATTACATTTTTAAATGAACTACACAAACACAATACCTTAATCAAGAGCAGAAATACGTATTACAAAATTGACCTAAAATTTGTATCAATAAACCAAGATCCATACCAATGCAAAGTATCCATCTCTAGCATATCCCTCTTTAAATGTAAATAAATATTTATAGACAATATTTGGGTTATGGACATAGTTTTGTCCATTCTGCTTCCTGCTGATTGGGGACGCTGTTAATCAGGTCTTTTATGGTGTATCCTGTGTGCTAGTCACCAGTTGGATGAAGTAAATTTTTGAGGGTGTTCGTGGCAACCTTTCAGGGGATCTTGTTCCATCAAACCACACCAGCCTGGAAGCAATCCACAGGTTCTCATTCTCTGTGAAAACAAGAGAAGAATTTCTTTTTTTTTTTTAATTTATTTAACTTTATTTTATGTGGATTGGTGTGAAAGTATCAGATCCCCAGAAACTGGAGTTACAGACAGTTGTGAGCTGTCATGTGGGTGCTGGGAATTGAACCCAGGTCCTCTGCAAGAACAGCCAGTGCTCTTAACCCCTGAGCCATCTCTCCAGCCCCTCTTTTTCTTTTTTTTTTTTTTTTCTTTTTTTTTTTTTGGTTTTTTCGAGACAGGGTTTCTCTGTGGTTTTGGAGCCTGTCCTGGAAACTAGCTCTGTAGACCAGGCTGGTCTTGAACTCACAGAGATCCGCCTGCCTCTGCCTCCCAAGTGCTGGGATTAGCGGTACCCGCCTGCACACCTGGCAACAACTTTTTTTTTTCTTTTGGTAGTGATGGGGATCGAACCTAGGGCCCTGTGCATGATAGGCAGGTGCTCTACCACTGTACTGGATCTCTAACAGGCAGGGCTCTTTTAAAAGGGAACCTAGTGAGTATGCACAGGAGGTGCTCTCAGTGGCTGCAACTGAGGAGGATGTATTCTGTCAGAACCCCAAAGGCAGGCCAGTACAGATGCCAGAATACTAACAATGTCCCCATTCTTTCATTCAACATGCACCCTGCTATCAAAGACAACTTATGTCATTCTCCCTCCACACATTAACTCCAGCAAGACGAAGGTCAACGTGGCATGGTCTTTGTAGTGAAACTGGTCTACTACTTGTGCAGTCTAGTCCAAATCTAGCTGTTCTCTGTAAGGTCTTTCTGAGACAAAGGACTAGCTCTGTTTGCTTTTTTTTTTTTTTTTTTTTTTTTTTTTTTTTTTTTTTTTTTTTTTTTTTTTTTTTTTTTTTTTTTTGTGGTTTTTATCTGTTGAATTCAGGATCTCCTTGCAGGCCTCTTCCACCAGGTCTAATTCCCGCCTTCATCCACAACAAAAAGTGATCATTGCCCTGGAATCATTAAAAGAGCAGATGTCCTAGTCACCATTCAGTGAGTAAGCAGGAAGGGCTGGGTATGGTGGCACAAGCCTTTGATTCCAGTACTCAGAGGTGGGTGGATCTGTAAGTTTGAGGCCAGCCTGATCTACACAGGACAGCCAGGATGAGATAAAGAGACCCTGTCACAAACAAAGAATTAGCAGGAGAGTTGTGAACCCTGCAAGGCAACATGTGTTCCACAGCCCAGCCTAGCCCAGCGGAGTGTGTCTTGAGGATGTCCCCTGACTCTGGCAATAGGAAGCAATAAGTATAGGAAGCCTATGCTTAGACTACTAAGACAAGATACAGAAAGCCTAGAGAGATGTCTGGAGAGACGGCTCAGTGGGTTAGAGCATTTGCTGCTCTTGTAGAGGACCCTCATTTAGTTCCTAGCACCCACATACCAGCTCACAAGCAAATGTTACTCCAGCTCTGTGGCATCTCAAGCCCTCTCCTGTCCTTGTTAGTCACCTACACACATGTGGCATGTACACACATGTATACATAATATATTTTAATATTAAAGTAAACCCCAAGAAAAGGCCTGGAAAGAGAATCAGCATACTAAGAAAGCATGGCCTTGGTCTTTATCCTGAGTGGCTCTCATCGGGTCACTTGGTATTAAGATGTTTGTATTAGAGTGTGCATGTTGAACTAGATTATCTCAGGTTCTGTTACATTCTGTGACTATAAAATGAAGCAAAGTCTACCACACACTGAAGTTAGAGTCCAAACAGCAAGCTTAGTACAGGAGAGTCAGTCAGGGTGACATGGGGGCTGAAAATGGAAACACTACTAGCACACATGCAGGCATATAGGCACAAAAGACCACATTACAGTCACTAAATTTCTAAAGAGGACAGACAGATTTCACACCCCATTGAAGTCTTCCTTTTCCCCCTCACTGTGTGAGCCTGACTGGCCTAGAATTGATATATAACACAGAGATCCTCCTGCCTCTGCCTTCTAAATGCTGGGATTAAAGTGTGCACCACCATGCCAAATTTATTCTGTTACTTTGAAAGTTTATTCAAGGAAAATAAAGTTTTATTTTTTTTCTTGGGGGCCCAAAGAAGGGCTCAAGACAAATGCCTGGGCGCTGATCTCCTGACCCTCTCTTGTATTTCCTAGATTGAGATGGCACAGAAGCTGCTGAACTCTGATTTGGGTGAGCTCATCAGCAAGATGAAGCTGGCTCAGCAGTACGTCATGACCAGCCTGCAGCAGGAGTACAAGAAGCAGATGCTGACAGCTGCTCATGCCCTGGCTGTGGACGCCAAAAATCTACTTGATGTTATTGATCAAGCAAGACTGAAAATGCTAGGGCAGACACGACCACACTGAGCCACTGGCCATTGAACACGGCTTTCTGCCCTTTGGGAGAGCTTCTCTAGCATTCCACCAGCAGCAAGGAAGTAACCGTGTCCTCCGAAGTCCACACTCACAACTCCAACTGAATGACAGCTAGCTGAAAGTCTCTCTCTCATAAGTTTAACCACAGTATGTGTGGTTTTGATTTGTTATTTTTCTAAATAATGTTCAGAAAAAGTCTGGATCCAAAATGTGGCATTTTTTTGAGAATGAAGATTGTACATTAAGAAGCTTTTAAAATATACTTGGTGTTGGAATTGGGATGTGTGCTTCTAGAAGTGGTAATTCCTACTGACTATGGCTTAAAGTTGGAAGAGGAGTGTCTTAGGAGGGAGGACTCCCTAAGAGCCCAGAGGCTGGCCATCCTTCCTGCCAGAGTTCCTGTCCAGGCTGGGATGCGATATGCTAATCTCATTTACAGAGAAAGTGCATAAAAGCTATATTTTGAAGACTCAGTGGTTTCAGAAGAAAACTTCTGCCCTCCCTGTCTCTACCTTTTTCTTTCCCGTGAATACTGAAGCATTGAGTTGCAAACGATCTATAGAACTGACAAAAACTCTTGTCTTTCCTCACCAGAATTCTGTGCCAGTTTTTTGTAGCAATGTAATTTTTCTTGGGAGCAGAAATGCTTTGTACCAGAGCACTCCCAACTGCATCAAGAAGTTCCAGAACCATCCCTGTTCTCCATTTTTATATAATTTATAAGAATGATTAAAGCCATGTTGACTCTTACAGCCACTGGAGCTAACTGATCTTCATTTCGTCTGTCTTCCCAGGGAGGACCTCACAGGACAGACAGGGATGTGGGTCTCTGATGTGCTGTTGTCACACCATGTGTTCTGATAGACAGTTTGGAAAGCATACCTTCCCTTTAGTTTGTTGGGGGATATAAATTATTCTCAGGAAGAATATAATGAATTGTACAGTTACTCTGACCTATTAAAGGTGGCGCCAGGAAAGTTTGCATTGCTGTCGCCTTTTTTTAAGGGGGGGAGGGGTTCATTGAAAAATGTCCAGGGGATCTGTGAGAAGCTGTCACTTTGAGGAGCTTTTATGTATCGCTAGTCTCTTTTTCTTGTACAAAAGTGGAGGATTCCACCATAGACGACAGCCCAGCCCAGCCTGCCGTTCCATTCTGTCAGGGTCTTAGGTAGTTTTTATTTGGTTTGGTTTTTTGTTGTTTGGGGGGGCGTAGTTTTTGTTTTCTTTTTTTCTTTGGTTTTCCGAGACAGGTTTTCTCTGTGGCTTTGGAGCCTATCCTAGAACTCGCTCTGTAGACCAGCTGGGCTGTCGTCTATGGTGGGATCCTCCACTTTTGTACAAGAAAAAGAGACTAGCGATACATAAAAGCTCCTGGTACTCATAGAGATCCACCTGCCTCTGCCTCCCAAGTGCTGGGATTTAAGGTGTGTGCCACCACCACTGGGTGCTAATTTTTTTTTTCAAGGGGTTAATTTTTCTGGTCGGTTGGTTGGTTTGGGTTTGGGAGGGGGGTTGTTGTTGTTGTTGTTGTTGTTGTTTGTTTTTTCCAAAACAGAGTCTCATTATGTAGCTCTGCTTGTCCTGGAATTCACTATAGACCAGGCTGGCCTTGAATTCACAGAGGTCTGCCTGCCTTTGCCTCCCAAGTGCTGGGACTAAAAGTATGAATCACCTGGCTTGGTTTGGTTTTTAGAACATATTTGCTACTTTATTACTCGTGTGTGTGTGTGTGTGTGTGTGTGTGTGTGTGTGTGTGTGTGTGTGTGATGGTGCTCATACAGAAGTTAGAAGACAACTTCAAAACTCAGTTCCCTTCCTCTATCAAGGCTTCCAAGGAGTGAACTCAGGTCAGACTGTGTTGCAAGTGCTTTGACCCACTGAGCTAGCTTACCAACCTCAGTTTGGGCTTTCTTTGTAGCCCAGGATACTATAGAACTCAGGGCAGTCCTGATGCCTCAGCCTCTCCAGCATGTAAGGAATAGGCCTGAACCACTATGTCTTGCTTTCATTCTTGATTCAAACATGCAGAGCTCCCAGCACTTGGAAGGCAGAAACAGATGGACCACTGTGAATTTAAGACCAGCCTGGTCCACATAGTAAGTTCTAAGTTAACTAAGGCCTTGTCTAGAAAAAAAAAGGGGGGGAGGACAGATAAACAAAAACCTTGTCTAGTGAAGTCATGGATCTTGGAGAACATAAAACTTCTGCTTTATTAAGCCAACATAATTCCTAACTATATTCTTAAGCATTTGTCTTTATCTTTTTGTTTGTTTGTTTGTTTGTTTGTTTGTTTGTTTTTTCAAGACAGGGTTTCTCTTTAGCTTTGGAGCCTGTCCTGGAACTAGCTCTTGTAGACCATAGACCAGGCTGGCCTCGAACTCACGGAGATCTGCCTGCCTCTGCCTCCCGAGTGCTGGGATTAAAGGCATGCGCCACCACTGCCCGGCAGCATTTGTCTTTATATACATAAAGAAGGTAGTCTTCACCCCTCATCCAGGAAACCTCTCTATGCAACTGACAGAGACCATCACAGAAAACCACAACTGGACAAAATGCAAAGTTGGGGTTGCAGTCCCAGTTGGTAAATATCCTACAACTGTTGCACAGAAGACTCAGGGATCATTACAAGGGGCGTGGGAAGACTGTAAGAGCCGGAAGAACAGCAATTTGCTGTGTGATTGTGTCTCCTAGGAATGTCAGAGAAGCGATACACATGAAGTCTCACCAACATGGCTGCCTGAACGAGACCTGAACAAGGATGACATCCATGGACATGCCAACATAAATGGGGGAAGGACCACAAAGCCTCAGCTCTACACAATGAACTATAGGCAACTAAGAAGTGCTGAGAACAGGAGAAAGTCTTCCCTAGGGAGGCTTACTAATTGGTTAATGCCACGTGGCCGACTCTGAAAACATTCGTACAAGTAACTTAAGACTGAACAGGTTGTATTATTTATTTAGGAAGACAGAAAAAATGGCCATGAATTTGAAGACTTCCCTTTGGGTGTCTACAGTGTGTGATAGTATAGCCAGACTCGAGGGAGCTGTCTGCACATGGGTCTCTCAGGCTCTTCCAGAACAAGGACTCTGGAAGATGGCTAGTGACACAGGCCCCCGGGGAGTGTGGTGCTCAGGGAAATGTAACTCAAGCAGATTCGGCTTCTTTGCATATGTGACATTAGGTTATCTGAAAGGAAGGATCGAGGATTGTCAGCCTCTTGAGCTGTGGCTTACCCAGAATCCAATCTCCATTACAGCCCCTGTGAGCTAGGGATGTGCCTCTGTGGGGATGTTTGCATAGCATGTAGAAAAGAGGGTGTCTCTGCCCCTCAGCCATTAGAGGCCAGTCCTTTCTGCTGTGATTCTGCCAGATGTGTTAGGAGACAGTTGACCTGAGCTCTGGGGCTACAACAGGGAAAGGGCTCACCATGCTCAGCACCTTTGCTTCAGACTGATTTCCTTTTCTTTCTTTGGTTTTTCAGGGTTTCTTTGTTCTTTGTGTAACAGTCCTGGCTGTCCTGGCTGCCCTGGAACTCAGAGATCCACCTCCCTAGTGCTGGGATCCACCACCAGGTCTTTTTTTTTTTTAAGACTTAGGGTTTTTTTTGTTTTTTGTTTTTTGTTTTTTTTGGTTTGTTTTATTATATATTGTTCTGCCTGCATGTATGCCTGCAGGCCAGAAGAGGGCACCAGATCTCATTATAGATGGTTGTGAGCCACCATGTGGTTGCTGGGAATTAAACTCAGGACTTCTGGGAAAATAGTCAGTGCTTTTAACCTCTGAGCCATCTCTCCAGCCTTCAGACTGGTTTAATGACAACCTTGCTTATCCGCTGAGGCAGAGTCACAGGTGGACCTCACAACTTGTAACTGGAGATAAAGAAGCCTCGGCTAATGAGAACAGGTGGAGGCAGGGGCTGCAACAGTGTGTGGCCAGAGTGGAGATGTGCAGCATGTACCTGACGGTGCCTTGTGGAAGCCACTCACAGCCCTCATTAAACGGCTCTGGGGTCTGAGCAGGATCTGGAGGTCACGTTTAAAGACTCAAATTCAGGTCTTCAGATGACTCCACTTGGTCCTGCCTGCCTATCCAGACAATTACCTATGGAGAGGCAAGCCACACGCCTAGTGGCCTAGTCAGGACAAATTGAGGCCTTTTAACAGCCTCCGATTGGCGACCTCAGAGCTTTCCAATTTATATTGCTTAAAATTAAAAAGTAAAAATAAAAGAGCATGTAAATGCCGGGTGGTGGTGGAGCATGCCTTTAATCCTAACACTTGGGAGGCAGTGGCAGGCGGATCTCTGTGAGTTCAAGGCCAGCCTGGTCTACAGAGAGAGTTCCAGAACAGGCTCCAAAGCTACAGAGAAACCCTGTCTTGAAAAACTAAAAGAAAAAGCATGTAAATGCAGTGCTCATTGAAGCCTTCACAAAGGAATGCCCTGGTCATCACAACAAGTCAAACAGTGGGACCCAGTAGATCTGTGCTCCCATGAGACGGCACCATTCTGGGCGTTTCTGGGTGTCCTTACCAATGCTTGAGATGGAGCCTTGAGGAGTTTGAGCTTCTAAGTAGCCATGTGTGTTAGTACATGCTAATCTCAGCTGTCAAGGAGACTGGGTTTGGAGGATCCCAAGTGTAATAAGAGTAGCCTAGATTACACAAAGAGACCCTGAGGAACACCTGGGTCAGTGTTTACAAGAACGTTTTTTTCAGATGGGCATACCCAGTTAGTGCCACTGTGAGAAGGAAGAGAATAAGGCCCTAGGGATGCTCCTCTCCCACCAAGGTAGACCCATTCTGACTGAACAGTTTGTAGACACATTTTTCTCTGGGGCATCAGCTCACAAAAAAAGTGACATGGAGACTTCGTAGTCATGAAAGCTCAGCCTATAGCTTAGGTTTGTCCCACTAGCTCTTTTTGTTTTTGTTTTTCCTTCTTTTTTTTTTTTTTTTTATCCCAAGACAGGGTTTCTCTGTAACTCTGGGTCTCCTGGAACTCACTCTGTAGACCAGGCTGGCCTCAAACTCATAGAGATCCACCTGCCACTACCATCTGAGTGCTGGAATTTCAGACTTGCAGGTGTGTCACGCATGCCTCACTCACTTTGTTCTCTTTGAAGCTGGACTCTGAAGCGAGGATGCAGCCAAATGTCCTGTCTAGCCCGTGTAAGGCCCAGCTTCAGTTCCATAGCACCAAGAAGAGGGAGGCTGCTGGGTGTCAGCGGTAGTGTGTCTGCCAGTCCTTGGTGAGGGATTTGTTTTCTTACTTTCTTCTAGCCTGTGGCCTTTACTGCCTTCTTGAATGGTGGCTGTGTTGTTTTGTCTGCTGACTTGTTCCACTGGGTCTCCTATGCAGTGAGGGGTTTTTTCTTAGATGTTTTTTCTTTCTTGAGACAAGCTCTTGGTATGTAGCACAGGTTTCCTGCATACTTACAGTAATCCTCTTGCTTTAGCCTCTCAAGTGGTGAGCCTTACAGGTTTCAGCCAAAACCCCTGACTTCAGTGCATTTATTTTCAATTTAGCAAAAATAAAGTATAGTAAGATAAAACAAAACTATCATATCTAAGTTCTACAAGACAAACTAAGAAGGAAAAGAGTCCAAGAGAAAGCACCAGAATCAGAGAGCCATTTGTTCACACATGAAAACACTAACCTGGAAGACAATATATATATATATATATACAAAGGCCCTATGCATGCTACTTCAGTCTCTGTGATTCATATGTACTTTGTTCATGTTGATTAGGCC